AAATATAAGACTTACCTCCCCATCCAAATAGCCATTGTCTTCAACCCCTAATAGCACACCTCACCAAGACCGATCAAGCAACAAAAACATTTCATCGTTGAGTTTGCTGATGTCAGTGTAACACCCTTGGCTCCGCTCATGTAGATAAAAATCAACTGCCGGTCTTAGCCCAAAGGGTATTATCCACAATTGTTTCCGGTAGTTGTCTCCTATCCACTTCAAATACCGGAAGGGTACTAGCCAGTAACTCATACGAGAGCCAACTCTCATCCATCATGTCCGGAACCGGTGGGGGTTTCTCAATACTTCGATATATTACCCCATATGAATCGGGCTCTGGAATGGTGGGAGGAACCTCTTCAACGATGACAGTGGCTTCTTGAACGGTGGGGGGGAATCTTGAGGGAGGATAGGGGCCTCTTGAACGATTGGAGGGGACTCTTGAGGGATGACCGGTGAGTCGGGCTTCTTCTTGCGGAGTCTTCGCACCATTGGGGTGAACGGAGACGTAATAGCACGTCCACGCCGTCTGATGCGTGAACTCCGTCGTGCAAGAAAAACCCGACGTAAAGCATCCACCTTATCGGGCCGCTAAAAAAAATTAATACATAAATCAGTAAATAAACAGACATGATATTAAACAAAGACAAATATGTTTCAAACTAGCATTATATTCACCCAAGTCATTATTCTATCATAGTTCACAAAATGCTCAGATAACATTCCAGAAGTAAGCACTTATATAAACATTTAAAAGGACAACATATAAACATTCCAGAAGAAGAATAGTTTACTTTCGTAACACGAAACTTAAAATCGCAACACGAAAATGACTATCGCAACGCGGAAATGGCTATCGCAATGCGAAATGAAAATCGCAACGACAAAATCGCAATGCGAAATGAAATCGCAACGACAAAATCGCAACGCGAAACACAAATCGCATTGCGATTTTCATTTCGCGTTGCGATTTTATTTCGCATTGCGATTTTGTCGTTGCGATTTTCATTTTGCATTGCGATAGTCATTTCCGCGTTGTGATAGTCATTTTCGTGTTGCGAAAGTAAACTATTTCTTCTTATGCAAATTGAAACTTGAATGGATTGCATTACTTCAACCAAAAGACAAAAACAAAACCAAAAACAAATACTAACAAAAACAGTTTAGCAGTATTAGCAGCAACCGAATGAATTACGAGTATGAAAAATCTTAAACTTACCTCGTTGCGTAGAGTATGAACCTCATTCTGCAACGATGCTACCATCTCACGTAGAGCGGCTACCTCACCACGTAATGTAGACACCTCAACACGCCATGCACCATCGTCTTTGCGTAAAGTACCGACCTCCTCACGCAAGGCATTGACCTCATCACGTAACTCCCCCTAACTCATCCCGTTGAGGTGGAGGTGGAGAACAGGGAGATAAACGTCGTGACATCTTTGCCGGTCGCCTATCTTGCGGTGATGGTGGAGAAGAGGCTCGATGATGTGACAGAATAGGTGATGGCTGTCGTTGTGGAGGTGTATAGCCGGGTCGATCAGATGATGGCTCTGGGTGAGGTGATAGCTCTGGGCGAGGTGATGGCTCCCGAAGTGGAGGCTGCTCATCAACCGTTCCATCAAAAAAACGCTTACTAGCTTGCCACCAATCAGTGGCAAGCTCAGCTTCCGTGGGTGTCAGCCTCTGTAGAGGAGTGTTGGCCTCCTAACAATATAAAAGCTCAAACAAAGTTAAACGTGTACTAGTAATAACTTGTTTATAAACATATGGTAGTATTTATGTTAACTTACATTATTTATTGTCGTATACCGTAGTAAATCTTCCCATTGCAAGGTCCGTTTCCTCTTCCAGGAAATAGCCCTGGGAATATTATTTGAAGTTTTTATTGCATATGTCTTCATGGCGGGAAAGGCCTCAAATATCCAAATCTACAAACAATATAATAACAAACATTAGTAATTGTTAAATAATTACTTATAATTTTGTAAACATTATATAAAAATTCTTACCTTAAAGGCCCAAATAAAGCCTGTCAAAGTGTATTTGGAACCATCGCCATGCAAACTTTTTCGATCATCCAAGGCAGACGATAACTTATTCCATGTAGCTTTCCATAAATACGAGCCCCACGGAAATAGGTTCCACGCATTTAGGTCTTCTACCAATTTGATTAGATCATTTGGAATAGGTTGTCTGGCCTCTCTACCTAAAAAGTCGGCATGCAAAAGAATTAGAAGGCATACTCGGACAACGTCGACGTCATCCATCCGAGTAAAACCATCTTTCTTATTCAATAATATCGTCAGGTCTTCCACGTGTAGATTCGGCCTCTCCAGCTCAGGAAAAACCCGGGATAACCATGATGGGCGGGTAATATGTCTAGTGTACCGACCTACATCACGTGTCCGAAGCGTAGACCGGTGATTAAGCAAAACTCCTCCCGCCCAAAACACGTATACGCCGGTGGAAAATCAAACCATATCTCTTCATCACGACGTTGTATAGTATCTGGTAGATCCCTAGTCATGGTTTGAAGAAATAGGTGTATCAACATCGCATCTCCACCGGGATGTTGTACTTTCAGCCATGGCCCGAAGCAAGTATCCTCAAACATTTTTCTTTGTGCAGGTGAAAGCTTCGACGCAATTGTTTTGGCCAGGCTGACTTTATTTCTTAAGGTTAATTGAGCCGAATAAAAGTTCTACAAAAACAATAAACATACTAAGTTAGATATACCAAAAACTACACTGTGAAGATATACCAAAAACAATAATAAACATAAAGAGTAGTAGTTTATTCTTCAAACTTAAATTTGCAACACTGTGAATTTCTTATTTGTCTTTGTTTTTTGGTTGAAGTAATGCAATTCATTCAAGTTTCAATTTGCAGAAGAAGAATAGTTTCTGAAAATGAAAATCGCAACACGAAAATGACTATCGCAACGAGAGAATCGCAACGCGAAACTAAAATCGCGTTGCGATTCTCGGTTAATAATAAGCAATCTAAGTGAAATGGTTAATCTATTATTGAAATTACCAGTAAACTTATCATCAATTTCAATATGAAAAACCTAATAATAATGCAAAATTTTCAAAAAGAAAATAATTAAAAAAACTAACCCTCGTTGGTTGATTTGGTTGATTTTCCATTTCTGATTGTGAGGGTGGCTCTGAGAGATGGAGATAGACGGATTTCGCCGGAGATGGGGACGGATTTCGCCGGAGATGGGTGAGAGAGTGAGAGATGGAGATAGGACTGAGTTGTGATTTTAGGTTTTAGGTTATGAGTTGCGATTACGGGATATACTGTGGACGGTTCAGTGTTCCAATATATTAATATTCGTGTTTGGAATTTAAAAATAAAATACTTGGCCAGGATACTAATGGCGCTTTGAAAATCGCATTGCGATTATGTATTATCGCGTTGCGAAAATCAGAATCGCGTTGCGAAAGTCAGTATCTCGTTGCGATTTTGTATTATCGCATTGCGATAGTAAGTATCGCATTGCGATTTTCCCAATTCGCGTTGCGATTTACTTATTCGCATTGCGAATTGGGAAAATCGCAACGATACTGTAGACCATCGCAACACGATTTCCAACTATCGCAACGCGAAATGCAACGCGAATTTGCGATAATGGAGATCGCGTTGCGAATTAGCGATTGCATTGCTATTTTGTTGGTCATTTTGGAAAATCCGGAAAAAGTTGGTTAAAATCGTATATTATAAGTCATTTTTGGTCATTGAGGCGATTTTCTCTTCTAATTAACGTAAAACCAATATATATATTTTCTCTTTCTCAAACTTCACATAATTCAATTTAAGAAGAAAATACTTCACAACATCAATCAATCAAAAGGGGTTAAAAAATCTAAGTTTTAGGTGAAAGTTTTAGAGGAATTTTGTAGAAATTTACCAAAAAATTAAAATAATGTTAAATTTCGGAATGGGGGGCCAAAGCAAGATGAATTCAAAAGTTTAGCGATAAAATTGAAAATTTATGTAGTTAGGTACCAAAAAGAAATATTCTGACAGTTAAGTGACTAAACATGAGTTTACGCAAAATATTTTTTTTTTCAATTCATAATTTTCTCCCATATATATATTTTCTTCTTCGCTTCTCCCCTTTTTTCTTCCCAGAAATGAAATAATTTTCTTTTTGAATTTCCCTTTCTCTCGCTTGATCACCATTCTCCCTTTTCCCTGTCTCTCTCCCCCTAGTCGCTTGTCTTTCGATCTTCGGTCTCTCTCTCTCCCCCCTTTATTTAAAACCCTAACTCGTTATCCCTAACTCGTTATCCCTAACTCACTGATTCCCAATCCCCTCCTCCCTCCTAACTCGGATTACCCACCGCTTTAATCTGCCTAAGTTATTATCGATTGATCAAGTTTTTTAAAGTAAGAATCGCTTTTCCTCTCTCATTTTTATTTATTTAGTTTCGCTTATTTCTTGTTGAAAAATCTGAACGCCAATGCATTTAGCAGTTGAATTTTAGGGTTACGTGCCGTCTATCATCGATCTAATTTAGGGTTCTAGATACCAAAGTAATTAATTAACTCTGCAGGTGGTGCTTATTTACCTTTATTCCCTGCCGAATGTATTAATTAATTAAGCTTATTAAGGCAAGGATCGCATTTCCTCTCATTTTGAATGTCTTTTTTTCTTTCTATTTATTTGTTAAATTTGTTGACTGCGGATGCAATTAGGAGTTATATTTTAGGACTATTTGGCTTAATTATAAAATTTAATTTAGGGTTTTGGATATGAAAATTTTCTTTTTAATCCGTAAACTCTGTAAGTGGTGCTCATTTTGATTTGCTTTTGATATCTAATAAAACATCTCCTAGACTTTACGCTTAGGCGTTTGCATTTTTTTGCTTATTTATTTGATTTTAAGGGTGTTCTTAGATAATTTGATAACTATTTTTTGATAGGAAAAAGGCCTCGTTAAAATCCCCCTGAAATCTGGTTTCCTCTTTGATGGAGGTATATTTATCATAAACTCCTAAGAAACAGGTGGCACTTAAACAAATAAGGTAACTATATTGTTTCCCTTTTAGGTGACTGTTAAGTACATGGATTTTATGAAGCTATATTTGCTAACGATGGTGCAATCTGTCGACTTATAACTTAAGGGTGGTTGTTGCCTACTTTTGCTATCTTAATAGTTATCTGATCAGGGAAAATGCATCTGTGAGGCCAAAGATTTTTGAAATTTTGAACTGATATTTTTAGGTGCTTGTACAACTGTTTCATGCATTAGCTCAACTATTTTCAAGAAGCGTGTTCTGATATCCTTCACAAGTTGATAAAAGGCCCTGCTGTTTATGTGAAAATTTTCTTGCAACAATTTTGCACTATTCTCAGCTAATCTATTTGTGTATTTTACCGAATCATGCTTAATGCATTTTGTTTTTATGTTAAAATGACCTTGAGGTCTATTGATTGCTTTTTAGCCTAAAAAAATAAGGAATTTATGCTTTAGCGACTGTTCCTATTCTTTATATGGGAGCTTTGTTTCCTCTGTAGTCAACTTGTAGGATGTATTTGTCTATATATTTTGCCTCTGTAGTTAACTTGTAGGGTCTATATGTCTATATGTCTTACTGGTAACATATTTAAGTAGATCACGATCTGCCTCTTATGTGTTCCGAATAAATGGTGATTTCTGCATATAACTAGCAGAATAGGTGAAGATGGACCTTTGACAACAGTTAATCCTAGAGGCTTGTGCTACATTTATAGGTGGAAAGTTTTAGATTAACAATATGAGGATAGGGTATGTTTACGGGTTTATGCTACATTTATAAGTGGAAAGTTTTAGATTAACAATGAGAGCCCTGAAATTCTAACATTTTTTTTATAGAAGTTGGAGGCCTCATTAAAAACTCCCTTCGTATTCGTCCACATACTAAAAAGTATGTTAACGAACATTGGAAGGAAGAAAAGAGTACCTCATAGTTATTAATAATTTTATAAGTGGAAAGTTTTAGATTAACAATGAGAGCCCTGAAATTCTAACATTTTTTTTATAGAGTTGGAGGCCTCATTAAAAAACTCCCTTCGTATTCGTCCACATACTAAAAGTATGTTAACGAACATTGGAAGGAAGAAAAGAGTACCTCATAGTTATTAATAATAGTATCGAATACATATGGAAACACAGAATATTTCGAATGGAGAAATACACCATTACAACAAACCAAAAACACTAACCTAAAATTCTAACATTGTCATGGCTTCTCAGAATAGCACATTGCTTTTTCTTTTTGCTAATTTAATCACTGTATGGGTTTCATGGAACAATGACAAGATAGAGGAGACGTTCTATTTCATTGGCTTAACTTTAGGTGTAATGGTTTCCTGGTTTCTAAAGCCACTTGAGTGTATTAAACTAAAAAGCTCGAATATGAAAAATCCTAGCATTAATGCTTTAGAATTGGATCTTGGAAATGTTGAGTTGATTCTAAAAACTTACTCTACAGAGGCTCTTTTTTTCCTTCTAGATGAATATCCAACAAGCTTTGTTGCCCAAATCTTCTGCTAATGGATTTGCCCGTCGAAGAGGTGATAGGGAGGGTGGGGCCAGGTTGGAGAATAAGGTGCAGTCAGGAAAATCTAATCAGGGGAGAATACAAACTACAGGTGAACATTCTCTTACATGAATTCTTGTTATTGAACTATTTTCTTCATCTAATTTACTTGGTATAGGTGCAGTGACTGGTGGGAAGAGTGGAGGTAATGAGAGTTCTTCCCGTGATCGGTTAGTTTATTTGACAACCTGTCTCATTGGGCATATGGTGGAAGTCCATGTGAAAAATGGATCAGTTTACACTGGAAACATCATTCTGTTGCCACTTCAGGAATAATCTTGAAATGGCTCGCATGATAAGGAAGGTACTTTGCAAGGAAACAAGGCTGTTGCCGAGTTTGTTAGCAAGGCACCCAAATATTTTAATTATACCTGCCAAAGAACTTGTGCAAGTTATAGCAAAGGTTTTTGCCAATTTTCCTATCTTTAGAGTACCATCTTGTGGAGTTGCCAGTGAGAGATGAATGTTAAGTTATTTATGGGGGGCTTTCTGAAGATTGATAGTCTGTTTCAGTTAGATATTGTGAATGAATAGTTGAAACTTGGTTAAAACAAAATTTTGTTTTTTATCTTTTATTTCTTCATATTATTTGGCTGTTCTTGAATTGATTTCAGATGTGGCTGTAACCAGTGATGGATTTGCAGTGAGCTCCAACATGAAAAAACATCAGGAACTTCTGATAGATTCTGTGATATCACAATCCCGTCATGTTGGATGGAGAGAGAATTGGAGCCCTGGGTTCCTGACAAGGATTACCCACAATGTCCTGAGCTAGAAAATATTTTTGCTGGCTCGTGGAATAGGTTGCAATAATGTTCTCTTATTTCAAAAATTTATTGTCATAACTCTTCTATTCCAATTTCTTCAACCAACTTGCATGTAATTTGTTTTTTCTTATTTCTATTTGATCTCTATTTCTTGCCTGGTTATTTCCCATTGAATTAATTTGACTGAAAATCAATGTCAGAAATTTCAAAGTGTGATGTACGTGGGAAATGTTCTTTAATGGTTTTGTGTCAAGAGAATCAAGGATATCAACTAAAACATGATTTCTACATTGGTATTTGATTCTGTGAGATTAGTTGAATGTGGAAATGCTGGTTGAGACTCCTTTTGTCATGTCAATCTAGTATGTCAATTCTTTTGGGGGGTACTCCTGTCGTTTTGTTGCAATAACCAGGCAGAACCTGATTTTTTGTCAATGCTAGAATGTTTGAGCTGAAAAGAGAAGAGACCCTTTGCATTAAAATAAACTTTTTATGGCAAATCTTTGCTTTTTGACAATTGTTTTTTCTGTATTTTCAGTTAATATATGTAACATTCCTCTTTTTCATATTAACATTCTATATATATGTGTGTAATTGCACTATTAGGAATTGGGATCAGTTTGAAACCAATCAAAGCTGTTTGGTGTACAAGTACTTTCAGTGAGGACTTTACACAACTAAACTTGAGAGAGGTCCTCAAATGAGAGACTTGGAGAAGGAAGCAATGAGAATAGCAAGAGAGATTGAGGGTGAGAGACCCAGGACCTTCATCTAGCTGAGGTAACTTTCCTAATATGAATTATTGTCGCTTCAAGTTTGTTAATTTGTCTCTAAAATTTCTCATGCTTTGCGTATTGAATTTATGACGGAGAGAGGCTTGGATCTCATGATAATTTTGATATTGATGAGGAGATGAGGTATTCTCGGTCTATAGGGGTAGGGGGTTGACGATAGTGGTTACGAGGAAGAGGAGGACATTATGTTAGATTCCCAAACACTGAGACCTTTGGAGATTCTTCTGATTCTCTCAATAGAGGACCTACTGATTTGACCAGTTTGCAAAGCAGTGGCGGTGTTCGAATGTCATCAACACTTCTTTAATGGTAGTTTTTGGCCTCTGGAATTTGAAATATTCTTGTTCTTTCTTTTCTGAACGTACTCTCACACTCAAACACACATATATACACATACATGCACACATATTTTGAGTATTCATGTAAACTATTTTAAGGTTGTGTTTTTAGTTCAGAAAAAAAATCAGCAGTTTAAGTTTGGTATGCACTGCCATGAACCAGGAGGGTAAATAAAATAGCAAGATTAGAACCATAATATTTTTTTTTCTTGATGAAGAAAATTGGTATTGGACCTTGCGCTAAATCTTTTAATTTTTCTTTACTCCAATATTGATCAAGATGGATTTTCATTTTATGATGAATTGGTTTGAGAGGAGATTAGTTGGGTGGTGGGTGTCAATTACAATTTGGATAGCTTACTGAAGTTGATCTTAAGTGATATCTTTATTCTTCAATTATTACTTGAGAAGGTTCACATGAATTGCTGGTTTATATTCTTTATTCCTTCGATTATTACTTAAAAATCTAATTTTCTTGTTAACAACAATGGGTAGATTGAATACGGATGGGAGTGTGTAAATGTTTATGGAATTTGAATGTAGAATGAGCTTCTAATTGACTGAGTTGCTAGTTTAAGGACTTTCGGTTGGTTGTTGGAAGCAAAAAGTATGTCTTAGGCATGTAGGGAGAGCATGCACCTCTTTGCAGTGCATTTTGAGATGAAACTGCATGTTGTATATTTTGTTTAAGCTTCTGATCTCTTTGTTAGTCACTTGATTCTTGTATGTTTTTTGTGCAAGTTTGATTAATTTTATTTGATATATATTGCAATTGAAGTTTCATTTGGGATACATGCTTCAACAATGCATCATCTGATGTTTCTTCATATCTTTTATTTCATCATAGCCGTTCCTAAACATAATTTTCTCTGACTGTGCTTTGATCGTTATCTCATTTTAAATGTTGGGAACTAGTAAAGGATTTTACTTGATGTAATGCTAAAGTTAGTTCCATGCCAGCTACAATGTGCTACGAAAGATAATTGTTTAACCCATGAGTTTGTATTGCATGCGTTTACTCCTTGTGTGATCTTTTAGCTTCTATGACAGACTTCTGTTTCTTTTTGTAGGATGAGGCACCATCTTCCCAAGCAGCCATTGCTGCGGATTTGAACCATACTGGCTTTAATGATCAAGCCAAACAGTTGGCATCTGAATTTCCTTCTGAAAGTTTCTCTGCATCTGGCAGTGAAAGCAGGTATTTAATTGTTTTTTTCCCTTTCAACATTCCTACAATGTGTATTTTGCTGATTTTTTTGTGATTCCTCCTTTCTGTCAGTTTAAGGCAATATTAGATATGTTACTAAGATGCAATCTCTGGACATTAGCTCTTTATTTCTCCTGATTTGAACACTTGTAATATAGGATCCAAGACCATTTGCTTGGTCAACATGGAGGAAGCATTGACCCTTTCAACTCCTACAATGTGTATTTTGCTGATTTATTTGTGATTCCTCCTTTCTGTCAAGTTTAAGGCAATATTAGATATGTTACTAAGATGCAATTCTCTGGACATTAGCTCTTTATTTCTCCTGATTTGAACACTTGTAATAGGATCCAAGACCATTTGCTTGGTCAACATGGAGGAAGGCATTGATGCCAAGAGTTTGCTCAGAAGCGCATGTAAGTTAAACATCGCTGTAATCAAATCTTGTATGGGAATGTGCACAGTGACGGATGTAGGCTTTCGGGCCCGTCTTGAAATCCGAATTTCTTTATATTAGTAGTTCATTTTACTGAGGGTGCCCACCTTGAAATTTACTTGTGTCTACCCCATACGAAAAGTTTTATGTTATAATATACATGTGTCCACCCTGAAAATATTCCTGGATCCGCTATTGGTGGAGCACCTTAATTTGTTGCTTTAATTTCCATAACTGATCCATATCACCAATCACCATTGGTTTCTTTGTTCTAGTGATCCTAGTTCTAGTTTATTTTCTTCTAACATTTTTGTTTTCTGTTTGAATTCCTGTTCGTTATAATGCCAGCCATCTGAGGACTGGCAGTTGTCAAATTCCAATGGTGAGTATGCTTAATCATGCTTTTATAACTATCAATCTGCATTTAATCTTGCTGCTGCAGCTGGTTATTTTTATAAGCATTTGTAATGCAGATTCCCAGTCATTATTGAATGACAAGTTTGATGGGGCTGATAAAGCTGGGCCATCAGCAATTCTACTACTCATCCATCTAACACTATATCAAAGGTTAGTGAAAAATCAGCTTCTTCTGGTGAACTCTCTGAGGGCCAGCTTCTAGCAAAGTACTGGTGAAACACATTCTGTAAAGTCTGCGGACAACCTTGTAGTTCTACATCATCGAATTCAGATTCTGTTGCTGTTGTCTCAGCATCTAGTGGCCCTGCTTATCACCAAGCTTATCAATGGCTCATTATCCTCTGAGAAGTCACACTGAACCCCCATGCAAAGGTGCGTTTCTTTTTTTTTACTTTCCAGTGCATTATAAGCCAACTCCAAGACTTGTATTTTTAACTTTGAAGAATCTTAACTGTTCTATTGTTTACTTTTGACATGATTTTATGTCTCTTGTCTTCTGTTGTCATTTCACACATCTTAGTGTTTTATCAGGAATTCAAACTGAACCCTAATGCGAAGAGTTTCAAACCATCTCAACATCTGTTAGGGCCTCCATCCCCAGTCTCTGATGGTTCATTCTACTATCAACACAAGTGTCTCCTGTTCCACATATGCACTGCCTGTTAATTTTGGGGTAAGCTGCTTAAATGTAATTGCAATTGTTATGAACACTGATTTGCAAGCAGACAGGCAACTCTTGCATTATCCGGGGCTGTTTATGAATAAAAATCTCCCAATGTTACTGCACATTGAAATTACTAAATCTTGTTTCAATGGTTTTCCTTTGTTACTTGTGTCATGTATAAGTTAATGACGGATACTTATGTTGTTTAGACTCCTCAGTTAATGCCTGTTATATGACCCTACAGGGACATTCAATACATGGAAAAACTTAGAAAATTGAACATGCCTATGTAGGAGTTAGGACAGATACCTGTTTATGTGACACTCACACTGGGTCTGGATAACGGAGACTAATACATAATAATTAATTCCGGAAATCGAGTTATGACTGGAAACCTCTTGAGCTCTAAGAGGAGTTTTCAGTTTTGACGTGCATTTATTCTTAATAGTACTCATTCCAGGGACATCATTTTTTTTCCTGGTGGTTATTACTTTTACGTTGGTTAATGGTTAGGTCGGTTAGCTTAGATTTCGACTTGGAATGGGAAAACTACTAGCTGGATTCAACCTGCATTCGTCTAAATTGGATCAGGTGTAGCGGTTTACTTGTGGCCTTTTTTTGGTCAATAGGAAATTCACCAGAACCTGTAACCTTTTCTAATAAATAGTCTTGTATTCAGTAATTTTAACTGGATGCACAACATCATTCAGCATTATATATTTTAATAAGCATTGGTATATGACCTTATTAAGGTTCACTTTCATTGTATTTATAATTTTTCTCTTTTCAATCCAAAATATATTCTCGTTACTTTACGTGTTTATCACTGTCGATGATCACATGGTTTTTAGATTGGACCCTCCTTTCCTGGTCACCACCCTGTTGTATTCAACCCACAGGTGGCGCCAATACAATCACCGCAAGCGTATTTTCATCCAACTGGGCCTCAGGTGGGCAACTCTACATTAATTTGCTATTATTTTATCGACCCATCCCATCTTGATATGTTTATTTATCGTTTAATTTTTTCAAAATTGCAGTATGGGCAGCAGATGCTTCTTGGGCAACGACCTGTGATATACTACCAACCAGTAAGTGATTCTGAAAATTCTGAGTTTGTGTAGATTTGTCGGTCAATCATCTTTAGCATGACAATTACAGCACTCTTAAGTTAGTTTTCGTGGAACACACTCCCATTTTGCAATGTTGCTTCCCGGGAGTTGTAGTAAGAATTTTTGTAGATTTGCAGAGGAGAAATTAATATGTAACTCCGACTCTTCATTTAGCTGAAACACTCATCGTCGAACATGGATATAGTGGTAGGGTTCTCCAACTATACAAAAAGATTTAACAAATCGGTGTTGGACTCATACCTAACAGAACTGGAACCATTTTGCAGGAAATGCAATACAAAGGACGGACTATTAACCGGTTGCAGTTTGCTGTCAGCATTTTTGAGAGCCGTGCTGTGCTCGTAAAAAGAATAAACTTTCAAAAGACTGCTTGGAAACTCGAAACAAAGCCCTAGCTGTCCGTGAAAGATCGTATAGGTTGTCTTGGTCACCCCACATATTGCAATTATATAATATTTACCGTTATGGAAATGATTTTATAAACCCATTATATCATTTTCGTTCACATCCGTGTTTCTGGATTTCTAGCTTTCTTAAATAACCTGCACTTTTCTCTGGTGGTTTTTTAAAATTTGATGGTTTTGGATCAATTTGTGGTTCAAAATAGTAGTATTGTGTTTGTATTCTATATTTTCTCCTCTTTTTTTAAGTTTTTACTCACTAGAGCCTTGGTTCTGTGTGTGCCTGAAATGAGTTGACCCATTCATGGCTAAATCCCAATTTCAGATAGGATTTTTGTAATCGATATAATTTAGGTAATGATAACTCTATCATAGGTATTGGTCACCTTTCAAGTCCAACTATGATAGGGGTTTCAATGAAAAATTGTGGCGAATTCGATGTTAGAATTGAGTTATTGCAAAAAAAATACTCTAAACCTATTTTGAGAAATAACGTTTCGTTTCCCTCATTTTGTGAGGAAAAAGAATCAAATATTGAACCTATCAAATAATATGATTTAGTGGTTAAAAGAAGTGTTATTATGATTATAGATTTTTAATTTGAGCAGTTATGTTTTTAGAGTATGATTATTAATGGTTAAGAAAGAAAATAAACACATTATCTCATTATTTTAGAATATTCAAAAAAAAAAAAATAGGGTTCCTAAAGTCGTATTATCTCCCATTGTCCTAGTGGTCATTCCAAATTGAAAAGTTGCCATCCTCATTTTTCAACCCAAGGTATAAGGTTCAGTATATTTTTAAACCGTCTATTGGTTTTTGGTTTGATTAATTTTTATTTTTGATTTTTTTTCATATTTTTTGATTTTTGAGGTTTTATATTTTTTTGACAAGATAATTTTATTTTATATTTTTAATATTTTTCTAATGAAATTGTAAAGTTTTTTTCATTTATAAAATAATTGAAATTAACTATAATTAAATAAAAATAATTTTAATTTAATTCAATCATCATGACCATACAACCTCTGAATATATTGTTTAATTGTTCTTTTTTGTTGCTTAGCCTGAATCTCGTGATATTTGACTATAGATTGGTTGATAAATGGATCAAGCTAAAAGGAAATGAAACTTTTATCGAATTTCGAGTTAAATCTCTGTATTTTTTAGAATTTCAAATTGAATTTTTTATTTTGATATAATTTATCCCCAATTTAATAATCGATATTCTAGTTTAGATAATTAGTACATTCATTTTCATTCAGATATGAGCAAGTAAAAATTTGATCGATTATATTTGAAGAACAATAAATTATCAGCAAAATACTAAGGCTGAGTTTACGAAATACTTTTATTTTGTGTTACTTCCATTTTTCAAACGGAAATTAGAAAGAAGAAATGAACTTACTTGTATTAAACGAGTATGGGTTTTGATGGTAATTTGCCCTATTGTTGTTGATTTACATCAAGCTCTCTTGTTCTTAGCTGACATCGTTTCAAAAACTAAAGTATGATCATTGTTGTTGCAGACAGACATGAAGCCCACCTTGGTCCCAACCCTCTATAACAAGCAAGCCACCCTCCTTCTTTAACCAAATTCCTCACGGTTGCCCGATAGTCGGTCCGCGCCGTCCGTTCTCTTCACCATCGAGAACCTGCAACCGAGTCTTGATTGTATCGAGCGGCATTGTGATCAAAGCTGTAATCCCGCCTGCCATTGCCGCACTCACTCCTTGAACCGCCATCACAGTCTTTGAATCCGGTCTGATTGTCCTCGTCTTTTTTCAATAAGTAACTTCCAACGCCACCCCAAACAAGCCTTTGAGCAACTGAATAAGATCCCACCAAACTGCTTGGTGCGTATGTCAAATGGATATCCCAAGCCTCTGTACAATCCCTTTGGACCATCTCTAGAACTATTTTCCTGAAGGCATCGATCCCATTTGATATCTACAATGTGAACCACCACAGCTCGAATTCGTTCCTTGAACCATTAGCCTTTGGCTACCACATCGATGGGTCCAAACGAGCTGAGCCGCCATCGCAGCTGTTAATCCGGCAATCGCATTGGCAATCACTACCGCAGTCGGTTCGGGTATGCCTAAGTTAACCGTGGTACTCCCTACATTACTCTTGGTTACCTCAAGGGCAGCCATAAAGCTCGGCTGGGATTGTTCCCATCAATGAAGTGCCGAAACCGCGGTATAAAGCTCGGAAACCGTCGTAACGATCGAAAACGCCGTCCTGATGCCGGAAATTGGGATTGAGCAACTTGTTGCCGTGTCTTGACCAAAACTATAGGGTAAGAGTCGCCGAACTCCGGAAACAACGCCGCACCTAAGAAAAAACTTGGTTTTATCAAGCATTTCCCAATTTATATCCGGCGGTATGTGAATCTCTGTGCCGATTTCTTCCTCGTCCGCGCTTAAATCCATCTTTGCCACTTTCGAAAGATCGAATCCACAACCCCTAATCTCCCAATTATATATCGAAATATATACAAAAATCAACAGTTTTGCATTGAAATTACAATTAACAAAACCCAACACCACTTTCACGGTGAAAAATCTGGGTCAGGGCAAGATTAAGAGCAACGATGAATGGATTTTTTTTCCTCTTGCGTAACAGGATCTGGATCGAACGTGAATCACTAATACAGCAAAGGGATGATCTATCATTTCTTTAACAAAAGAAACAATAAGGGATCGATTCGATCGTTGGGATCATACGATGTTTTCAGCTTACGGAGCCGACCATCGTCGTCACCGCCGGCAACGGAACTCCGTAAGTACGGATCTCTAAAGAGCTTGAGAAAACGAAATTCTAACAAATGGACAAATATATATTAAAATAGAAAAAGAAAAATTGGAGTGTTTTTAAAGAGAGATTCGTGATAATTGTGACCGGATATTATCGGTGGCAAACATGTGGAGCAAAGAGAGTAAAGGAAGGGAAAACTGACAAGTCGGTTGCATATTTTAGGTACACGTACTTTTTTTTTCTGTTTTGGCTTTCGGGTCGGGTTGTCGTCTTGGTTTTTAGTTGTGCGGTTGTTGTATGTATGAATAAAATTTGGGTTATCCGATGGCTTATAGATAGATTGTATTCATTCACCTTCTTCTAAAAAAGGGTAAGATACTTTGAGATCATCAAACCATGCTTAAATGAATATTTAGCTATTGAATTTAAATATTTTTTAAAGTGATCATTAAATATAATAATTTAATAAAGCTCAATGATAATTTTATAAATTAAAAGTACATTGATCAGAAAATTATTTATTTAATTGAATAAAAATATAATTAAATTATAAAAAAACTTTTAACTATTCTATGTCAGTAATAAGATAATATTAATCTCCGTCTCATTAAATTTGCTCCTTATTGACTTTTTAAAAGTCAAAATTTTAAATTTTGACCATGATTATTTTACATATTTAAATAATTTTTAAATAAATATATTTAAAACAAATTAATTGAAAATTTTAAAATATATTTTTAATATTTTATCAATATAAATTTTAAATAATAGTGAGTTAAAATTAAAAAATTTGACAAAAATTAATAAGAGACAATTTAATGGAACATAAGGATTTAGACTTAAATAACTCGAAACAAGTATAATTAAATTTAGATTTTATCACTTCAATTGTAATTCGATTGTCATAAATTAATATTATTGCTATTCTTTTAATAATGTAAACAAATTATTTAAAAAAATCATATTTAATAATATTTATCTTATTTTCTGGTGGACATTTTAAGTTTTTTTTAATAATTTGCTTTATTGGAATTGAATAATGACATTAAATAGATTTTGAACTGATATTTTGTACTTTTAAATATCAACCAATTATAAAACGACTACAGTTTTAGTGTGGACAGTGATGCAGACGATTTAAATCGGTTTTCGTATAAGACTTGTGTAAGATGACGTGTAATTCATATCCATTTGAGCTGAGTTGGCGTATATGCCACTACATGATAAGGAACGCTTGTTCTCACTTATCATTAAAATATGTACATTGAATTATCTAGTTATTGAATTTGATAGTTTTTTCTTTAATTTAATCCTTAAATTCAACCTTTTTTTTCGATTTGATCCACAAGTGGTTTTATGATCCGCGTTAGCTTTTATACAATTTTACAGTGTAAAGTTATTAAAAATGATTGAAAACGAAACAAATTATTAAAGTTGAAGATTAATATGAATAAAAAATAAAGAAATTATAGTTGTGATCCCTTTTATTTTTAGTAAATTTTATTTTGATCATCGATTTTGAAAAATTAGTTTTTGGTTATTTTTACTTTCCATTTGTCTTATTTGTCATTAATTCATGTTAGTTTGTTGAAGTGATACATTAGTAAAATTGGTTAAATTTTAACTTGACCCTTATATTTTTAGATATACTACTAATTTGACTCTAAATTTTAGATAAAATATTAAGTTGATCCCTAAATTTTAGATAAGATATCAATTTGATCATTGAATCATATCAAAGTTTCCGCCCTTAACAGCCACTCATCACCATCGTCAGTCACCGTTTTTGCAATGGAGATTGACCATTTTTTGATTTCCTCTTTGATCATGAAAGAGAGGTTTAGCCAAAGCACTTTATCAGTTTTTACACAAACGTAGAAATCCCTTAATAAATTATAAAATCATAAGCTAATCTAATCATAAGCACTCTATCAGCAGTGCCAGTGGTTGTGTTGTGTGAGCCAACCGAGCTAACCTACCGGTTCTAAACCATGAAAAAAAGGAAAGATTGCAGACGTTGAGATTTGAACTGAAGATTTCTCGCGAACAAGGTACTTTAATGCTTAAATAATTTGTTGTAATTTTTTGAGGTCTCAGATTCAGGGATTTAAATTACAGTAGGGTCGCGTTTTCGATAGCGTTACGTTTACCGCAGTTGTGAATATAACAGATGCTATGCGGTAATTGTGGATATTACAGTCGTGAATTTTTTGAAAGAGCTGATTTTTTAATTAAAAAACTATTTAAAAAAATTAAAATAACGAAATAATAGCATAATAGCGGTTCGCTATTACCGCAACACCGATCTGTTAAATTGCGGTCGCGATCTGTCACTATTGGTATGATCTTGCTTCATATCGTTATTTTCCGCGATTGCGATCTCGAGCACTACCACAACCGTGATATAACGGTCCCGATACCTTTATTCAACCGCTATTTGAATCCCTACTCGGATTTGAATATCGCGTATGCATGGGTATTAGCCTTCATTGTCAACTCAGAAGAAGATAATTGGACGGAAATTGCTCTTTTTTTTTAATCGATGACCAAAATCAGATAGACCGAAAACATAAAGGTTTATTTACATAGTTTACCTTTTTTTATTTTAATCAACTACAATTAAAAATTAACAAAGAATGTATTACGTCCTGATATAAAAATAATTCTAGTCTCTAATACATATATATTCCACCAATTTAGTCATAATTCGAAATAATTTAATAAATAAATTTAGTATTTAAAAATTTTATTAATTTAATCAACATTTTATAAGGTAACGACAATATTTCATTATGTTATTAATAAAAAATAAGAAAAAATATTAGGTTTGGGAGGGATCAAAATCAGGACTTCAAGTAAAACCAATTTCTTAACCTTTGAGTAAGTCATGTAATGTTACAATATAAAAACTAATAAATAATGCTTTTTTTTCTTATAATTTTTAAAATTTAAAATTTTTAAAACATAATAAAGAGTTTTATTAAAAATATGAAAATATTTTGTTTTTTTTATATAATTTTTGTACTTTTAGAGAATTAAGATGAAACGAAAATCCATAAATGTTAAGGTATAAACTAACAATTAGGCCGTCAAAAAGACTTGAACATTGATACTTTGAAGATTTGATTAAAAGATTGTGAAATTCATGACCAATTTAGAATATCAGCCCTAACTTAAGGACTTCCATTATAATTAATCTAAAAATTTTAAGTGAGCTCAACCCTCGTACTCTGCTTTGAGAGTTTGAGCTAGAGTAAAGTTCGTACATGTAGTAACTGTTCCGATACGCTTCTTTTTAACTGCATTCTCCCACTCCTGTTTTCTCTCCCACGCTGCTTTCGCTTCCCGCCAATTTTTCCATCATGGCCGCTCTTTGAATTCAACTAGTGAATGGAAACTATCCGATCGAAGACGAAGATTTCAATCAATGGATGCCATCATATCATCCGCTGTCGAAGAAATCTGTTCGACAGGTCGCGACGGCGTTGCTTTATCTTCTCTCTGCTCAAATCTCGCTTTGAACGTCGAAATTAAACGGGTCCTGTGGGAAAACCTACTTCAGATTCCAGCGCTTCAGTTTCGGAAGCGGAATCGTGTTTACGATCGCAATGATCGTTTGATTCAGCGATTTGACGATGCGGAAAAGCTGGATTTGAATGTTGTTGCCAAGGACAAATTATGCGATAATTTTTTAGGCATTTATGATTTCTCTTTGGGAGGTGAAGAAAAAGAGTTTCATCAACAGCGTCTCGTTCTTGAACGTATTGCCAGTGCTAGGTTAATTTTAATTTTGCTCGTCGTATTCCTTTCCTTTTTTTAACATTTTTCATTAATTCCAGTTCCGTTTTTTTGAGAAAGAGATTTTTTTATAGGAATTTTGAGAAAGAGATTTATTGTGGAGTAATTTGGTTATTAGCATAGGTTTCGTTTAGATGATGTTTTATTTGTTTTTCTTTTCGAAAACAAAAGGCTGAAATTCAATTTAATCATTAGACTAATGTAGTTAGTTGTTTTTTATTTTAAGTATCCAAAATCGAAAGATTTTATCTATCCGAATGGCGGAATATATGATATGGGCAACAAAGTAAATGTGTGTACTGAAATCTTGTATGTTGAGATGGAATTGTTGATATTGTCTTCTTTTTATTATTGTTATTGCTGTTTTAAGTTTTAACTGTGTGCTTGTAGGACGAATGGAATAACTCAAAGCCAACTTAGCAAGGAATTTGGAATTGAAGGAAACAGATTTTTCTATTTGGTAAAGAAGCTTGAGAAAAGAGGCTTAATCATAAGACAAGAAGCACTCGTGAAAACTAGAGGAAGTGGTAAACAATGCCTATCCACAAAGTTAATTCATTTATACCGTTATGCAAAGCAGTTGAGATCTCAAGAGAAATTTGAGGTTACCAAAGATGAAGGGACTGTGGACAAAGAGGACTCAAATGTAGAACATATTGAAGAGGATGTTCTTGTGAATGATAATGTGCCACCAATGAAAGCAATCTGTGATAAACTCGAAGAAGCTCATGGCAAGGTTACTTATGTCTTGTACTTGAAAGATTGACAGATAGATATATGTAGTTTCATTTTCTTTTTAATAATTTTTACTGATGTTGTTTGAATTCTCCTTTTTCCTTTTAGGTTCTTGTCATGTCAGATATTAAACGCGATCTTGGCTATGTTGGGTCATGGCAGGCAAAACATAGATGGCAGAAAGTTAGTTCATTTGTTTGTGTTTTTGCATGTATTCTAGATTTATCTCGGTGATTTATTCTTAATAGTTCTAATCTATTTCTTCATCTTCAACTTTTCCCAGATATATGACAGATTGAAAACTGCTGGTGTAGTAGAGGAGACTAATGTAAAAGTGAATGGGAAGGTTAGTTTGATGACTTATGTCATGAATGTTTCTTTTTGATTTTGCATTCTATTCACCGTTTTCTACATTCATGTTACACTTTTTGTAGTCAGACATTTATGATTTAGAGTAATCTTGTTTGATATTTTATTTCATTGAATATTACTAAATATGTTATTTGGCTTTGTATATTCTGCTTTAGAAAGAAGCCATTTGAATTCAATTGATGTAGTGAAATCCAGTCCAAGTGATAATTTCCTTTCTTCTCTCTGTTGCAATACAAACTAAGCCGAATTTAAGTGTTTATTTTGGATTAAGCTAAACCTTGCATATGTTATTTGATACTTGAAACATATTTGTTCCATGATCACTCTTGCTCCCTCTTTAAAAAAAGAATTGAAGGTTAGTTTCCTGAATATAAATGATAAATAACTACAATCATGATAGGCTTTTGGAGAAAAAGTACATGCTTATAATATAATTGTGAGATAGTTTTGCCTATGATGTTTCAACTAGCTTTTTCCTGTTTCGTGGAGATGTTCATTTCTAAATATTATGCATTAACATGCTTCAATTTTTCACAGGATAAGCGGTGCTTGCATTTGCTAAAACAATTTTCATGTTTGGATTTTGAGAAAAACACGATCAGATGTGTTGAAGGCAAAGAGCTGAAATTGGGAAGATGTCAAATAGCTGACCAGCTTGTGGAGCTTCCCATTGATCATCAGATTTATGACACAATTGATGCTACAGGATCCAAAGGGATGCTTATTACTGAGGTTTGTGAAAGAGTTTTATATTAAGATATCTTCTATATTTCAAGAATCATAAGTATGGGACTGCACCTTTCTCAAAGAAACAGAAAGGTGAGGTGTTGGAGGGAAGAAGAAGCTACATGTTTTTGTTTTATTAAAATAACAGACATTAGCTGCAATATTTAAGCCTGAACTCCTTTTTATATTCTTCCTAGAAAATCTTCAGGATCCTATACCTATCCCTACCATAATACCTGAAAAAAGAACTGAATTTTTCTGTTACACCTTTTTAGGCTTAAGTTCTACAATATTTATACAAGTGGAAGTTGACTTTTGTCAGTTGCATGAAATCTGTAATCTCCCAAAAATTAGGAGATAATTCTATCCTAAAATACATTAGAAGTAAATTTTTCCAACCTAAAGTAGTGCAGGAATCATAGTATGTACATATCATTTATAGCTGTACGATATAGATATGCTAGATTTTCAACACTCCCCTTGAAGATGGTGAATAAATATTTTCCATTCCCATCTTGCATGCAATGTCTTCAAAGTTGAAAGTAGGCATTCCTTTAGTTAAGACATCTTCCAATTGATTACTTGATGCTATATATGGAGTGCAAATCATGCCACTTTCCAGCTTTTCTTTAATAAAAGTGTCTTATCTACTTCATTGTGCTTTGTGCAATCATGTTGCACTGGATTGTGTTGTGTACAATGTTGATGGCATACTTCTTGTCGCATCAAAGTTTCATAGGTCCTTCCCACTTGATTTTAAGGTCATCAAGTATTAGTATGAGCCATAGCAATTCACAAATCCCATGAGCCATAGCTCTAAACTCTGCTTCAGCACGTGATATCGCAACAACGGTTGTTTCTCATTCCTTCATGTCACTAGGTTCCCACCAAGAATGTACAATATCCTGAAGTTGATCTACGATCTACAATAGAACCTGCATAATCAGCATCGGTATATGCCTCTATGAGCAATCCTTCATCTTTCTTGAACAAAATTCCTCTACCTGATGTTCTTTTGAGATAAGAAAGAATTTTGTTGAAAGCCTGCAAGTGTTTCTCTCTTGGATCATACATAAATTGGCTTACTACACTTACGACAAATGCTATTTCGGCCTTGTATGGGACAAGTATATCAGTTTCCCAACCAATTACTGATATCTTCCCTTATCTATTATGCTATCATCTTTTTCTCCACTCAATCTCAAGTTAGGCTCTATAGGTGTGCTTGCTGCCTTGCATCTAAGATTGCATGTGCTTGCTGCCTTGCATCTAAGATTGCATGTTCTTTAATTTCAAACTCCATTGCTAAGCAGTTTTTTATGTTATAACTAGGCATGTTAACAGATGTATTAATGGGGAAGCTGATTGTTTAGCTAAATAAGGAATAGAATAGTGTGAGGACAGGTTTTTTGGTTCGGTGAGACTGGGGGTGTTGGGTTGTTGTAATGGGGGTCTTTGTATTGTTTATGTTTGGTTTTGGTTGTATTTCTTATGTTTGGTAATAAAATTCTGGGTACTCTTTTCCCCCTTCCAATGACTATGGAGTTCTACAAAACTTAATAGTTATGAAGGGGTTTTTTAATGAGGCCTTATTCCTATAAAAAAAATGTCATCTACATATACAAGTAGAGCTGTAATTCCTCCTTTTGAATGTTTTGTGAACAAGGTATCATCTCCTGACTTTCCTTGTATTGCATTGCTAGAATCACTTTGGTAAATCTTTGGAATCAAGTCCTTGGTGATTGTTTTAGTCTATACAAAGCTTTCTTTAACCTCTACACTTTCTTTTCAAAAAACATTTCATTGAAATCTGGTGGAGTTTCCATGTACACCTCTTCTTCTAGGTTCCCCATGTAAGAATGCATTTTTAACATCCAATTGCTGTAAACATCAACCAAAGTTTGAAGATAAAGACAAAAGAGCACACACAACACTCATTTTTGCTACTGATGCAAAGGTACCTTGGTAATCTACCCCATATGTCTGTGTGTATCCTTTTCGACTAACCGAACTTTATACTTTTCTAATGAGCCATTACCTCTATATTTCAAAGTAAATACCCATTCACACCCGACTGTTTTCTTTCCTTTTGGAAGGTTTACAATTTCCCAAGTTTTATTCTTTCTAGGGGATTCATCTCCTCTTTCATAGCTTGTAAACAATTCTTATTCCTAAGTGCTTCTTGTAATGTTTGTGGTATTGAAATAGAGTTGATGGTGATAAGAAAGTTTTTATGTTGTTGAGAGAGTCTATAGAAAGACACAAAATTTGAGACATGATGCTTAATGCATTCTCGTGTTTCTTGCAACCCCTTGATTGATTCTGTGATTCACTATAGCTCATCTCGGTATTCTCTCAACAAGAGCACCAAATGTCAAACTAAAGAAGAATTTGCAGTAAAAGAAAGAAATAGAAGGAAGAAGATTAGAAAGAATTTCTCATTAGATTTTTCATGCCAGGTGTACATCCGTCTCTCCTTAAAATAACAGATAAAATCCGTTAGCTTTATTGGGCTCTCTTCTTCCTTAAACTTAGCCGTCTCCCTGCTGACTCAGCCTCAACCATTGCAACCTCCTGCTGGTGGATATCATCAGCTCCTGCTGCTCCATTCATAACATTATGCTTTTCTGCCCCTTTCTACTTTTGGCAGTAAATGAAAAATTGGTAGAGAGGTTTACTCTTTGGAAGAAATGAGAAAACGGCAGTTGGGGTTTGCATGATTGCTCCTGGTTGATGAGTAATTGGAGATAATGGAAATATGGAGGTTGTTCAGATGCAACTTCATTTTCATATTGATTGAAGAGAAAGGTTATTAGTTGTATATTTTGGTTGGAAGTTCGATAGAGTTATAGTTATCTCCTTACAGTTGAGAAATTTCTTTTTAAAGTTGGTTGAGATTGGAGATATTTGTAGCCTTTTTCATGATTCTAATGTGTTTTTAACCATATGAGTCATTTCAGGGCCTATAGTCATTCATTAGTTTCATGGTTGAAATATCTTGTTTAAGCTACATTGCTGCTCTTGAAATGCTTAAATATTCACATTTCGGTCATGATGCAAGAGGTGGTGGTTGTGTCAAATGAGCAATGATGTAAGTGAATAACTGTGTGTTTGATTTTATGCAATTTGGGGCCATGTTGGACAAATCAGACTAAATCAGAGACCAAAGTTATTTCTTGATTATAGACGGGATCGATATTTTTTTAACTGTTTGCCTAAACAAAAATTTCTCTTTGTTATTCTGTTCTGTCACATTTACTTCTTCATTTTAGATTTTTGGAATGTGGATTTCACAAACTCCAATGTTTAATTCTGAATCTAAGACCTTTTCTTTTTCAGCTCATTCATGAAGTTTGTTGTGAAACAGGTAGGCAAGAGGTTTGGAATTGAAAAGAAGTCGAATCATAGAAACTGTTTTCTAATGAGCAACAAATTTGGGATGCCTATGCAGATGGAACTTCATAATAAAAGCCATGAATACAGAATTTGGACAGCCAGGAATAGTGAATCTTCTAATGTAATTCCTAGTAGATTAAAAGACCTTTTCGGCAAAAATTCTAGTTTGGGTGTTGCCAACCCTAGGTGTTCAGATGGATCAGCCCGAATATCAGATTTTTGGAGTTCTGAAAGTGACACCCTTTGGAAGACAAACAACCATGAAAATGAAATGAATCTCTCTTCTTTCTCTCAAAGAGATGATGGGGCAAGTAGTAGTATCTCCAATGCGTGCAAGCCACAAGAGTTGATCCATGAAACAAGAGCAGTGTCTCCAAACAGAACAGCTCATTCTGTGAAGACTGCAACATTGATGCTTAAAGCTTGTCAGTCTTCGACAGTTGATAGCGCCCGGAGAGAGCAGAGAATACTTGAACTATTACAGGTCTTTGCCTCTTCTACTCGAAGTGAATTAAGGCTTCCCCCCCTCTAATTTGGTTACTGATTAACTACCATTCATGTGTGTGTTTGTGGGTAAACCAATGCAGGTTGAAAAGCTTGTCTTGAGAACAGAGCTGTATAGGTTTCTTGTGAATCTCGAGAAAGACAAAGGCACAACAATGGACAGGAAAACTGTAGACAAAATATTGCAGAAGCTTGCAAATGAAGGACAATGCAAATATATAGACCTAGATATACATGAGATTATGGATACGGCTGTTAACCGCAAAGTCAAGGTGGTACTGCACCCATCTATTCAAAGTTTATCTTCTGAAGTAATTGGTGTAATTCGTGCTAGAATCAAGTCTTCTAGCAAGCTTGCTCATGGGAAGGCCTCATTCAGGAAGAGGAACAATAACCCAGTTCGTCTATTGGACTGTGTTCAAATAACTCAAACTTATGATAGTTCGAATTTCCTATCTCTTAGGACAGAAGCCATGCGTGCTAATGGATTCATATTTGGAAAAATGGTAAAAGCAAGGCTGTTGCATAGTTTTCTCTGGGAATATGCACATGGTTTATCTGCTAGGGGTGATGTTTTATCATATGGGAGACAAGATAATGATCTACAGAAACCTTATGTCACTCACAATCTGTTTGATATGGAAGGAGCCACCAAGGGAATTCCACTTGAGCTATTTCTTCAAGTTGTGGGTTCTACTGTTAAAGTTGACAACATGAGAGAGAAGGTTAAGAAGGGAGTGTGTTTATGTGATCTTTCTATTCAAGAGTATAATGATCTAAATGATACTTCAGCAATTAGGAGACTATCTTCGATTGTATCTATTTTACAGAGGCTGAAGGTACAACCCCGTGCTCACATTTGAAAGTAAATTTAATATTTTCTTTCTATATTTTTCATTTATTATATCAATTGACCTGGGTTTATTCAGATTTCTGAATGTATGAATGTGATACTATTGCCTTGGTGTAGGTACCATCCAATCTCTTAAACAGTGTTTAGGTAATCATATGCCTGATTGGTTCACCAATGAAAGAATTTGAGATGCCACTTCCTCTCTCTCTCTCTCTCTCTCTCTCTTTTGATTTCCTTCTTCTAAGAGAATCCTTTCTTTGTAGCTGATGGCTTTTCATCTGATTATTAGGACCCTAAGATAACATGAACCATCAAAACCATATTGCTTACCTTTGAATATTGGAGAGAACAGAATTAAATAGTTAACATCAATCTTAAGATGATTATGCACGTTGATGTTTTTTACTTGTAGATTCATGAAATGAGCATTTTGGACAATTCTCGTACTTGAATGTGCCACTTCTAGATCTACAAATAGGTAAACATTGTGTAAGATGTCATGTACTGCATGCCACTTGTCTTATATTTGAAAGCACAAATTATCATTTATTTCTGAATTATTTTTCGGCAACGCTTTATATGCTTTTTATCTTATATATTCCTAGTATCAAATCCCAAACTTTGATACTTTTACGTAGTTGATTCGGCTGGTAACTAGAGGAAGTTCTGATGCTGAAGTCAATTTGTCGCATGCCAGTCCTGTTTATGCCCTGGAGCTTAAGCCTTATATAGAGGAGCCATTATTGGCTGCAACACATTCAAATTCTGGGTTTCTTGATCTTGGCCCAGAACAGGACATTGTCAGACATGAGTTTACCCTCTCAAACAGAGATGACATTGATGAATACTGGCAATTTTTGGAATATACTTATGCTAGGGTTGATCCAAAAGCTGCTTCGCATGCATTCCCCGGGTCTACTGTTCATGAGGTATGCATGCATCATTTTATTCTTGCACTTATGTGCAAATTGGTGTCTTTCAAGAATTTTCAAATGAGAACATGATCAATGAGGAAATGGAAGTATTCTATATCTTATTCAGTATGCTTTTCGCTTTTAACTGTTAATTCCAAGATTTCTTTGCTTAGTTATTATCCCAGAGATGAGGTAATTGAATATTTTTTTCAGATTTTTGGCGACAGATCATGGACCTCTGTTCGAAGAATGACTGTGGGTCAGCATGCAATGCTACTGAAACTTCTAGCCAAGAGCAAATTCAATGAAAAACTTCCATACAAAAAATGTAAGGAGATTGCAAAGAACCTAAATCTCACCATATTGCAGGTTAGATCATGCCCTATTTTCCTTAAGATATCCCCCCTTTTTTTCTTAGAAATTGTCTGGAGTCTGGACCAAAGCTCGCGATCTTGAATTTCTTTGCTCAATGTTTTTATTAATTTGATGAAACTAATGTTCATATTTACCTGAAAAACTGTAAAAGAGTTCCTTCGCTGTTTTATTGTTTAAAATATCTCCCTTGAAATGTTGCAGGTGCTTTGTGTATATAATGCTAAGCTGCGACGTCGTGAAAGAAATAAAATTGTAAATGCACTGGAGACTGAATCTGATCCGATGGCCATTAGTTCCTTTTCTCAAAAAAGGAAAAGATCTGCAAAATCTAGAGTTTTAAAGCGTAGAAAAGTTGGCAATGAAACTGGGTCATTTTTTCAGAAATTTTTTTCTAGTTCAGCAGGAAGCGATAAAGATTTTATAGGAGAAGAAAACAAAATGTTATCCTCTCCTCAGGAGCATGCAGGTCAGTTGCAAGGACAACAAGAGGAAGATCATTTGAAGGATTCTGAAAGGTCTGGAGCAAATGGAGACAGACATCATTCATCTACTAACCATTCGGCCTTTTCCAAATTGAAGTCAGCACGCCCAAAAAGGTTCCAGTGGACAGATGACGCAGACAGGTATGGAAAATGAATTAAATAATGTCAATTCCATGTTCCCATTGAAGTTTGCATAAAATATTCTTTGTGAAAATGGCCTTATGGCGAATTTTTGTGAAGTTTGCATTTATATATTGCATGTGAACAATAGTTACTTGTATGCCGCAGGTGACTTGTCTAGCTGAAAAATGTTTTACTAGTTTTAAAAATAGAAAAATGGTTCCCCCCCCTTTTTCCCCCCCATTGTGTATATTTACTAATTGCTTCATTTTGCATAAATGAATATTTTTCTTTAAGGCAATTGGTAATCCAATATGTAAAAAACATTGTGGGTCTCGGAGCAAACTTAACTGAGGAACAAAGGCTCTCATTCGGTAACCTTCCAGCACATCCAAATGCTTGCTACAGAAGAATGAAATTCCTAAAGCATAATAGAAGATTCAAGGAATCTTTAAGGAGCCTTTGTAATATGCTTAGCAAACAACATGAGAAGCAGATGGAACAAATGGAGAAGAGATCAATGGATGATGATAATTGTGGACCAATCATGCCTGGTTCATCGGGGACAGGTACTAAGAGAAGTTTGTTTGAAGGCATCGAATGTAATAAAAGCATAGGTTTCCTGGACTCAGATAGTTTTAATGAGGAAAAGATTAAGTTTGCCTTGGAAGATGTTCTTCGGAGCAGGCATGAGCCCTTACTGGAGGCCCCAAGAAATGCAAATGTCTGTGACTATCAATTTCCGTTAAACACTGGCAGTAACGCTGCTAAATTTTCTAGGTGGCTTGCTGAACATGAAAAAGATTTTATGAGAGGAGGACTTGATCTCACAGTAGATTTAAGGTGTGGAGAAACTTTTCATTTGTTTGCCTTAATTTATTCGGGTGAACTGTTCATTTCTCCTTCTATTCCAGTTGAAGGTGTTGGAGAAGCTGAATTTGTTAAAGGCTTTTCCGCCCCTTTTATTGATGACTCTTCCATTGATAATCGGCGTGAAAAAGGTTTTCCAGGTATCAAGTTATCTGTGCATCGAGCATCAGTGCCAAGAGCTGTTTCTCTAGAATCATCATTCAAGAACGGGGAGAATTTTGGTGATGAACAATTTATTGATGGGTATTATCTAGGCAGTAATTCTGGAACTCCTGTAGTTGGGAGCATTTCATCACATTCTGAAATTGTTAAGGAAAATGTCAATTTTGAACACACTGTCCCAACACCTGGGGATTCTTGCAAGTCACCTTGGGAATTGATGGTTGATCATGCTGCACATTTGATGCCATTAACTTCCAGTCAAGAATATGTTGGTAGTTTGTCTGTGGAGGTCTTTAAATGTGTCTACACTGCCATCCAGAAGGCTGGTGATCAAGGTTTGACCATTGAAGAAGTTTCCACAGTTATGAATACGTTAGGTATCCATGCTAACTTTTACTAGGATGGTCATATTTAAACATGCATTTCTTTCCTATTGTCGAAAAGCCATACATACATGATCCCATATTTATTTCTTTTTCATTTTTTCAGGAGAAAAAAAAATGGCTGAACTTGTCATTGATGTTCTGCAAAAGTTTGGACAAGCAGAAAAGGTAGTTTGATTCTTTCATTTGACCACACTTTTTTACAAAATTTAGAAAGAAAAAAATATATAGCACTACGAAATACTTAGGTATAACACATTGTGGTGAAAGTGTGAAGTAGAAGGTCTGGGGATTTATTTTTCTTGTCTCCTTATGGAACATCTTCCATTCTGATCTCTATTTGATTCCTTCTTGTCCTGGACAATTTCAGTTAACTATGTTGTGTCACGTATTTACAAACCCATTACAAGAATTAGAACATTTATTCATAATCAAGGAACAGATTTTGATGAGATTTTCTGACTTTTCTAGCATCTAGTAGTCAAAGGGAAAGGAGACTTGTTATGCTATCTATAGCTTCTTAGATTCACAAATATATGGTTTCATTTATAGTTGAACAGTGGGAGTTTGAATCTCTGATTGGTGACTTGCAACTGCACGAGTCAAATATCGTCCTAACAATTGGTTATACAGGTTATTTTTGATGGTTCACTTCGTTTCATTGCCCGATCAACTATGCAAGGCAACAACAAGAAGAAAATGCATAAGAGAATAATTAACCGGGCTTTTCGTATTGTGATGCAAAATCCAGGAATATTGGAGGTACAAGATTCTTATATTTGCTTTTATTTTCATTATTGCTCGCTTTTTGTGCATGAAAAAAGTAACTAGTGCAAAAGAATGGGAATTGGGATTGGTCTACTTCATTAGATCCCTGTAAAAGAATAAATTAGTTTATAAAATAAGGATTTATGCTTACCCAATAAAGCTGTAATCAGTCATGGCTATCTATGTCTCCCCTCCAATTTTAAATTGTTTCTATTATTCATATGTTTGCGTTGAGAAATTCACGTATATAGAAGTTAAGCGAGTGTTCTATACTTGTTCATAAATCTTCCTCTGAAAGTTCTGATGAGTGTGACATGGAAATTTGAGGTGATTGATAAATGGTAACCTTTTTTTGGTTGGTACCGAACTAGAAGTTAGACTGATTAAGACCTATGTTAGCCAAACTCGGAGGCGAATATCGGTTAAAGTGTGCCTCTGTCAAAAGTAGGTCAATATTTTCCCCATTTTTTAAAACTTTTGGGAATCATACTCTCATACTCATGTTCAAAACTCCAAATATACCTTTGGACACTGGTGTCGAACACAAGCACTTTAGGAACAATGAAAGATTCTGGTAATTTAGATTTGAATTCGATATGTGCAGCTACGAGTTGGGAGTCTACACATTTTCTGATGTTATTATTTATACTCACTGTTTGTGCAGGGTGATATTATTCGCAAAATGGACTTCCCAATGCTAAATTCCCAGGTAAGATGCGATTCGGTTGATTATCAGAACATTCATAAACTTCTGCTTATTTTGTTAAACTCTTGCCATAGACATAATAAAATTTTATTGCAAGTATCTAGCTCATAACTCCTTGTTTCTCTAGATGCTAGCATATAATGTTAACCTATGTTAGACATGAGTGTCGTACACGAGTACGTTTAACTTTTTCAAGGTTTCCATGTATAAGAGAGTCCAAGTTCAGGTTCCAACTTATACTTCGAACATTGATACTCCACAAGAGAAGAACCTTTTAAAAATGGAGAGTCGAAATAACGTAGGATTCTTCGTGTGATAGCTTTAGTGTTGATCATTTAAATGGGATTATAATTTTCCCATTACCGCATTTTCAAGCTAAAAACTTATGTAACTCGAACCCAAGTGTAAGTGTCCGGTATGAGAATCCGTCTAACACATATCCAGATATGAGTACGGTGATATGAGCATGTTGAACACTAGAAATGCAAAAGATAAAAATAAAAAGTTTAAGAAATATAGTTAAAAACCTTAATTTTCCTTGCTTTTTCTTATTATAATTCCCTACTCTTGAGTTTATAACTAATGGATTTACCTTTACATTTCTTAAACAGCCCCTGAAGAAATTATTAAGGTTGATGGTTCGGGGCGGACATCTTTTTGTCAAGAAGCATCAAAGTAAACGCACTGGAGTTCCGGCAATTCTAGGAACGATGATCGGCGGTAATTCGACCAAATGCGAACTAATTTATCGGGAGCATTTCTTTGCCAACCCCAAGAGTACATTTCTTTTGTAGGAAAGCTCATTCGATATTTAGCAGATAATAAATCGGTATCATGGTTTATCATTACTAATCGAACTTATGTTCCCCGGACTTAGATACGAGTGTTGGATATGAATATAGATTCCGACATTATTTCTTTTTTAAATTTGTCCGAATGTGTCGGACATTAATTTAGATCCGATTTTTTTGGGTGAAAATGTGAAGTCCGGGTAACATAGGTCTCGATTGTAGCACGAACATCATCACAAGTGAAGTAGTTGGGAATAAACGTTGCATACAGATATAAATATGTATTTGACATGATATATGAAGTAATTGAGAATAAACTCATTTCGATAACTAACATAAACATTTAACAATATTTTTAAACTCTACTATTTTTACGAAACACTTGAAAACAATTTAAATAAGAGATAAAACACACTGAAGTATGTACGAAGTCATGTTCAAATTTCTGCAACAATAATCACCGGGAAAAAAAACAAGAATTTCACACTGAAGAACTAACCAAAATGTGATTACAAAAAGATGGTGGACATGTTTGGATGGTGAGAAAATTGTTCTTATTAGGGTTTTTAGTTTTTCTTTTTAGTTAACGTGAAAGAAATCTTTTAGGGCAATTCAATATAAATTTTAACAAAATATGGATCAAATTGCTAGAATCTTGTTTTTTTAAAGAATTTTGTTCTTAGGTATTGACCCCACAACTTAGGGGAGAAGGAAAGTGTTAATTGAGAGTTTTTAATCATTTACTCTAGTCACTGTTCACTTTACTTGATTTTGATTATACAAACCTATTTACATATATATTAATAAACTATAATCAAAATTAATTATTATAAAATACAATCAAACTAATAATCAAAATATATATAGAACTAAACTAAAATAATTATAGAAATGACCTACACATTTGATTTAAATAGAAATATGAAACAATCAGACTAATAACCGAAATTTAAACCAGAATCAAATCGATGAGAGTCGAACACGTATGCTCAAGAACCGGTCTGGTTGCCATTGTCTTAACATATTAAATAAGACAAAGCTTACCAAATTGACCGGTCTGTAACTGGTTCATTAAATATTATTCTAACTTTTTTTGGGGTGGGGTTGGAATGGGCAGTGAAAGCTATGAAATTGGTTGGTTCTTATGAAGATGAGCACGTCCAAATTGTTCATTCTTATCCCTTTTATTTCATGGAATTGATCGCTGCCGGTGCTTCCACAACCGTCTCTAAAACCACAGTAGCACCATTGGAGCGAATCAAGATTCTTTTGCAGGTATGATTTCTTGCTTATTTTATCTGGTTTTAGATGGATCGTCGTTATTTCAAAGGACTCTCATTGTTATTACTTCTTACGTGTGTGTGTTTACACACCTCGTATCCGTGTTTATTCCAAGCTTTACCCATTCATCTAGATCGAATTATAGACTTTATGATGTAACTGATTTTTATCTATTTTACGTTGATTCCGAATGAATGCTACTATTCACGTTTATCCATGTTTTGATTCACCATATCGATGTTTATGTCATTAGTTTGTACATCTATCTAGATTGAATGATATATAATTGTTAGGGTGTAATAGATTCTTATCTATGTTACTCAGATTCGGAAAAAGTATTGGTGTTCGGTTTTAATATGTTTTGATTTACCCATATTTATGTCAAGGTTTATCCATCTATCAAGATTGAATGATATATAGGTGTCTTGTTGTAATTGATTTTTGTCTATATTATTCAGGCTTAGAGTGAGTACTGGTGTTCGTGTAATCCATGTTTCGACTCACTCGTATATTTATTTATGTTAAGGTTTATCCATCCATCTATAAATTAAATGATTTATCGGTTTATTGTTTTCATGGAATAATTGATTCTTAAATGTTACTGGTACACGAATAATTGAGGGAAATCAAAGTGTCTGGATAATATAGATTAATCTTTATCGTTTGATTCATTATGTCTGTGGTTGATTATGTTTTCATTGCAAATTTATAAAGTTTTATAATTATTTCTATTGATTGAACTGATAGACAAGGGCAGAAGGGTTTCATTCAGTTGGGGTGTATGGATCATTGAAGAAGGTAATGAAGAATGAAGGTTTTAAGGGGCTATACAAATAAGTTCACTAATGAAATTCAAGTATTTCTTGCTCGAAACGTAGTACATACATACATGCATGCATACATGATATATGCCCATATAGTTGCAGAGCAAATGGTGTTTGTATCAGTCGGATGTTACCCCATTCGATATATCACTACATGACATGAACAATCTCGAGTTAGAAACGACATGCATGCACACACACATAGATACATACTAAATCGTTTCTTCGCAGAGCAAATGGTGTTTGCATCATTCGGATGTTACCGCATTCGATATTCCATTACATGACATACGAACAATACCGAGGTTTCCTGCTATACAAATGGCCTTGTGTTGGTAAAGGCCCATTGCTGGACATTTTAGCTGGCTCTGCAGCTAGTGCAACAGCATTTTTGTGCACTTATCCCTTGGATTTGGCTTGAACCAAGTATGCATATCAGGTACCGCAAACTCTTCGTGCAAAAACCCTTTTTTTGACACGGCCAGTTGTATGCCTCTTGATCGGTGCAGCTGATTCTCCTGTTATCTGTTTTCAAGGTGGTGAACCGATATCAAAGTCTCGGTGATAGTCATAGATGTATCCATTCGGGTCTTCCTGCACATCGAAGGATAAGAGACATCTTCAAGACGATCTATAATCAAGGTGGAATGTCCGGGTTCAATCGAGGTGTAGGTATGCTAGGCTTCCCTTCTCACAGATAAGAAAAGTTGAACAAACATCACATTGAGAATTTGAGTGAATACTCACTTGTTTTTTTAAAACATCAGGTCCAACACTAGCAGGAATTCTTCCTTACAATGTTCTGAAGTTTTATTCTAATAAGGAGCTCAAAAAATGGGTTCCCAAAGAAGATCAAAGCCCTATGGCATTGAATCTTTCGTGTGGAGCATTGGCTGGCCTGGTTGGACAAACTATAATATATCCATTGGATGTTGTTAGGAGACAAATGTCGGTAAATTCCGTGCCCGATTTTTATTGTTACAGACTTGTCCAATGATTGGATTATCTTCCCAAGCCAAACATATTATAGACTCATTTTTCGGACCAGATCGACTTGGGGCATGTATAATTTTGATTCATATGTAAGCCAAACATGAATCCCCAGGCAAACCAAACCTACTCCATGTTATCAAACACCGATAGTGTCGATGATAAACCGGACTACGAGAACCTTTTCTGGAAGCATCAGAGCAGACTGCATCCTCGGACCCATCTCTTTGCTTTCATGAAACCTCAACTTAAAATAGAGTACAAACTTCCACTAAACATCGATAGTTTCCATGATAAACCGGACTTACATGTTTAAACTAGATTCATCTTCGAGCTTCAAATTCAAAGTTGTTTATATTACAGGTTGACATTCGGAACCAGAATGGTGTGAGGTACAAAAACAGCATTGAAGCTTTTAAATCCATTATTCATAGTCAAGGATGGAGACAATTGTATGCAGGTTTATGCATTAACTATATAAAGGTGATTTCACTATATCCATTACCCTTTGTTAAGTTCTTTGACATGATCTGCAAGAAATAATCTTAACCCTATTGCAGGTTGTTCCATCACTAGCCATTGGTCTGACTGCGTTCGATGTTGTTAGCCAACGACTACGTTTCCAGCAGTAGCAGACCTGCTGATGCTGAAAACAATCCCGGACTTCTTAAATGTCATTTTTTTTCAAGGGTAGTTGCATGAACTTGATTCGGCCTCACAATTTTATCATCAATAGGTGGATCCATTGAACCTCACCATTTTATCCTCAAAAGTGGGAAAGGTATGGTGTAAACACTTTTAGATGCCCATTCAACTCGTACTCATGTCGAAAGTGATACCAGACATGAATACTCAAAGAAAAATGTGCTGTACAAAAAAAACATAATGGAAAAGAATCTCTCTTTATTCCTCCTAACAGAATCTTGAAACCGGAATCAAACTCAAACTTTGAATTGTTCTAAGTAGCCAGACACAGATCAATCGAAATGCAGCTACATTATAAATAACAAAATGACAAGCATTTTCAGAACTTACTAACAACTTGCAAAAGTTTGTGTACCAAAAAGACAATCTAAAAATTGGCATACATCTATCTGAACAAAGAAAAGGCAGAGTCAATGGAATTAAGCAAAGGTGAAATTGCATAGTTGTACCCAATTTCAGGTAGCTTCTAGATTTTAATTCTGATGAAAACATCGCAGAAGATCCAGATTTTAAGCAGTAATTCTTGAACGACCCTTTGCTATTCTTCGAGCGATGACTCTTCTGCCACCCTTTGTTGCCTTGCTGTACATGTACGAAATAGTAATTATACAAGTCTAAACACCAGAATGAGAAAACAAAACCAAAAGAGCGGCTTTTCATCATGTAGAAGAGGGAACCTTTTTGAAGAAGGGTTATTGAAGATCAAACCAAATCATTAACTACTATACTGATACTGTGAATTTCGACTAGCCAAAAATTAGTGATTTGCAGAAAAAGGAATCGTTTGGAGCTAAATATCCAAGATTCAGGTTTTACAAATCAAACTATAGTTCAAACTAAAGCATCATCTACTCTAGGACATGTAAAAAAATTAATGATCCACAATAAGAGAAAGAAACCTTCTGAGCTAAATATCCAAGATTCAGATTTTACAAATCAAACTATAGTTCAAACGAAAGCGTCAACTACTATACAGGTGCTATGAATTTCAAACATGTCAAAAGTTTAATGATTCTAGTTAAGAGAAGATGTTCTTGAACAAAATGTCCATGATTCAGTTTTTCCAACTCATCAACTACTGTATCGATACAGTGACTCAACATGCCAGAAGTTAATGATTCGGGTTAAGAGGAGAAAACATTACCGAGCGAAAAAACCATGATTCCTTTTGCGCTTGATGGTACTAGGCTGATATGTTCTCTTGGGGAAACAGAGCATTGGCTCACTTGATGAATCTCCTGAACATCAATAAGAAAGGCATACTGTAATGCAAGCAAACAAACACAATAATGCAATCAAAATGTATAACGAATTGAGCAGCATCAAAGATTCAGACTTTAATCAAAGCAAATTTCAAGCAAACCTTGATGAAGATGTACCATATGAAAACAAATGAGTTTCCACGATATAAACTAAAACCGACCAACATTCGAGTTAAATGAAATAAGCTAAAACACATTAACTTACTAAAATAATTACAAATAAATTCCCACTTCATTTCAAAAGCAATCAAATATATAGAGAAAAGAGTACCGTCGGGCAAGAAGAAGCGGAGAGAAGGGAGGCCAGTGGGATAAAGAAACCCCATAGAAGAGACTTGAGAGATAGAATCGGCGTCGTTTTGAGTCAAATGGAGAGAGGGTTTCGGCTTTGAGAGAGATGGGAACAGCTGGGGAGTGATTTGCAAGCCTTGATTCACTACCCGATGATTTGTAACCGGGTTCGGGTTCATGAATTGATTCGCGAACACTCGATTCATCAACAAGGCCCCGTTTCTAATTAGGGATTTCGTCGCCATTTTTTGCTCTCTTTTTCTCAGTTGAAGAATTGGTTTTTGTGCTAAAACCCTAGTTGCTCTAGAGAATGAATGAAAAGGAAGAAGGTAAAGTTAGTTAATGGGTCAACCAGTTAAGGCCCAATAAAGTTGATTTGGGCTTTAATTTAAAACCATCCATTATTCCCAGTCGAATATATATTTTAGTTTTTCTATAAATTGTTGACATATATTATAACTAAATGAAATTAAAATTATAAATTTAAATTAATTATAATTAAAATTTGTACCAATTTTTTAATTATAATTAAACATGTATAATTAAGAAATTATATATCTAATAATACAAAAAAATTATTTATCTTTTTTACAATATTTGAACGTTGTTTTATATAATAATAGTAAATTTTGAATCTATTTATCGTATATGTTAAATTCTCATATTATATGAATTAAATAAAATGTTTCATCAAATAAATAATCTATAAATTTAATAATCAGATTTATATTATAAAATAAATAATAGATACGTATTTGAATATTTGACTTTAGGGATGAATATTCGATTTGAATTTGATAAGTTTTATGCGATCCGATCCTATAAATTCAGTGTTGTTTTTTTAATTTAGTTTTGATTAGATTTTTAAGGATACAACCGGGTCGGGTTGAGTTCGTATTTAGAGATAATTACAAAAATATCTATTTTCTCCAACTTTTTTTCAATTAGGTCTAAACTTTACATTATAAAATAGATCAGATTTTAATCGGATAAAACTTTTTTAAATCTAAATTGAGTTAAATATTAAAACTTTTTTAAATCGGATTAAATTCGGATGAGCAAAAATTCTAATCTAAGCTGATCAATGCCCGTCCCATATCGATTTCATTACCCGAAAAAATAGAATATTTTAGATATTATATTTAAATATTAAAACCTGTTACTTACATAAGAAATATAAATTTAAATAACGAATATTAGAAAATTAGTATTTATATCTACTCTGGATCCACCACTAATACTAATTATAAATATTGAATATTCATTCAAATAATAATAGTAATAATTTAAGGGAAGCACAAGGTCACATAATTTCAGACCAGGCTATTTCCTTGCATCAAAAGCTAATAACAAAAGAAAACACCCCAACTTGATGATTTTTATATATAAAATGTTAAACGAAGAAGCACAAATTGCTTGGCTTTCAGGCACTTTGTGTACAAATGGCTATGATTTCCGGATTCCATGTCCGTCCCGGGGTCTCTATTGCTCGCCACCACCACTAACCACGCCGGAGATCCAGCTCGATGCAGATGTTTCGATGTCCGGCTCGAGTTGCAAAGAAACCGACAGTGGAGTTACCGCAATCTATCCATATTGTATTTACACAAGGTCAAGTTCACGTAGCACCGGTTTTTCGGGGAAATTACAGTAAGGTTTTAACTTACAAATCCGTTGTTGAGTGCCTTGAAATCCAAGTCTTCATCCGTATCTTCCGTTTCTTTATCTACAAACTGCAAAAATACGTAAATACAGAAAAAGATCAACGAACGAGCAAGAGAGGATACACAACCCTTACGAGAAAACCGGCTATCCGTTTTCAAGATATTTCTGAAGTAGACAAATTCAGATTCTAGAAATGTTGAACATAATTACTTGAGTCTGAGAAATATAAAAAGCTTTGTCGTTCTCAGCTTTACAGCTACAAGCACAGAGTTTTAGATTTTCTTGTTGGAATTTGCATACCTCCAGTCGAAAGTACTTTTTCACTCTCGTGTCGGATTTGGCAGCCCCAACAGACTCTACCTCCTCGTTCTTACTTTGTGCTGTCCCGCGGCGAGCAGCACCCTAACGAAAAATACATACATTATCAGGAGTGAATAGTTACAACAATAATGACCATCCAATTTACGAGATTAATATAAAGAAATGATGCAATTCCTTTTAATAAGGGAAAAACTTACGGCAGCAGATGCATCACGACCAAGCTGAGCAAGTTGGAGCCCGAGGCTTTGTTGATTAGACATGAAATGTGCAGCCGAAGGTTGCCGATTAGCCGAAACAGCTTGCCAACACAGCGTGGATCTCCACATACTTTGCTTGGTCAATTTAAAGCCCTGCCACACATGAATAAGCAAGATATATAAACGATAAGACCAGATAAAACCGATTACGAAAAAGAAAGAAATATATGAAGCAACGACTGAATACAACAACGAGGTTCTCGAAGAATGTCAATTATCTTAAAGAAGATAAAGAAATGATCCTTGTATAATAAAAACGATTTCTTGTCAAGGAAGCAACGATTCCCGGACATTCATGTTAGATTATTACGACAATTTAAACACAGAAGTACAAAACCACTACAGTAAACATTTTAAACATGATGGATATTATTATAAATCAGACCATTGTTCCGAAAATCATAGAATCCGAACCTTGTTTGCCGAAGGAGAAGTGGGAATTTCTATATTTAGGAAGCAACTTTTAGGGAAAACACCCTTTTCGATATCTCTGATGGCTGCCTTTATTAAAGGTAAAGAAACGGCAACCGCATCCTTAAAATCGTTCTCTTGGCTTTCTTCCCTCTTCCTGCAGTCATATCCAACATTCAAATGAACATTCAATCACGAAAAAAGTGAGAAGGAAACAGTCGATACAAAATCCACAAAAACGGGATCGTAAGTCACCAATTCAGTGATAATGATAGAGATGGTACACCACTAATCAACGCTTCTCTAGCTCCAGCGACCACACCCGAGTGGTACCTGGCATTATTACACATTATAAATTACTTAGCATCCAAGCACCAAACAATCGATAACACATTATCGTGCAGGCATTTTCAAAGACTTACATTTGATGACCACAGCTTGATCCTCGGCTAATTCCGCTGATTACCTGGAAAATACATCAAAGTCGTTAAGTTCTTCAAAACATAACTGAATTATAATCCATCGGTAATGGCATGAAAGCCTAACCAGCAGAGGCTTTGGCCATGAGAACAGCGCCCCAGATAACGCTAAGGAGACACAATCTACCGGAGTCCCTGAAAGCGGATAACCATCATGGAAGCCAATTAATATCACAGGGTAACACAGTTGGAAAGTTCATGTTAAAGCCAATTTTCATCATATAAGGAGTCCTCGAAACTCGAAAGTGGAAAATCGTCGTTGAAGCTGATTGCCATCAAAGATAACACCAAGTAACAAACCAATGTCAATTTTAACAAGCTTTGAATAATTTGTTTCCGAGCAAAGCGGTAACGAATAACAGTCGGAAAATTCTATGTTAAAGCCGAATTTCATCATATACACGGTGGTTCTAACACAATGTACTTGGCTTATCACAATACCAAGGATTCATATTCCTATTCAAGAAAAACTCAGATGCTTAAAATTGATCAGACCTGATACTTCATAAGCTATGGCACCATCAATGTCGGCCCGAGCAACGGTGATTGTTTCTCGAACAGTGACGGAATGACCGAAAGCGATTTGTCCCTAAAGCAATCCACTTAGAAACTAATACTAAATAACAGCAGATTATCAAATGCAAGAGCTGATATAATTAGAAATTGAAAAATCTGAAACCATACTTATTATGATGAATGAAAAAAAATGCATGGCCAGTGAGAAAACTTTAGCAAATGCAGAAAATTTTCCGAGAAAACAAACAAGGGGCAAGGAACTAATAAATCACAGCAAACTAATAAGCAAATGTAAACGAAAAAAAATGCATGTCCAATGAAAAACAAGAATAAAATATCAAAAATCGGAGACAACCCAGAAAAGCAAATGCAGAAAATTTCCGGGAAAAACAAACAAGGGGTGAGAAAATTCGAGAAAATTTTCAAGGAAAAAGTAAGAAAGACCCACGAATGAGGGGCGCAGACATTGACATTGTAAGGTCCTAAACCGACCAAAGCTTGAACGAGATAAACAAGGCCAAGGGAATCAACCCCTTCACCATTGGTGACCAAAACGACAGGCTTGGAGCTGTCGTTTTCATCGAGAACAGCTGAAGAAGTAGATGTCTCAGTGTATTCGTCCTTTGGTTTTCCAGCATTGTTGTTGTTTCCTCCTTTTTTGCTGAGAACTTCTTGAAGATTGTTAACCAAACCAGGTGGTAACATATTCTTCTTCATTGTGGTCATATGGTTTTTTTCCCTTTAGATTTTACTTAATAATTATTGAATTAAAACACTAAAGAAGAGATTATAATAAATGGGAAAAGGGGAGATTTTGCAGCAAACAGGTGATGGACCGGGTCTAAAGGATGACCGAGAGAAAAAGGGAGAAAAATGAGGATTTTAAGACCGAGAAAAAGGTAATAATTAAGGACAGTGGGGGAGAAAAAACAGTTATACTTTACAACTAGGCACTAGATTTTAGATCGGTCTTAAGAACACCATGGTAATTGATGTCTGCAGTTGATGGGACCAAGCCATGCTTGAAAAATAAGATGGTAAACGACACTTTTAGTATCTTAACTATCTCTTTTATTCTTTTTTAGTCACTTAATTGTTTTTTTCAAAATCATATCTAACATTACATTTTGGTTTCGTTTTGATTATCCACTATTAAAAATTAACATAACTGTTGACGTGATATTTTTCAATGATAATGTGGCATTACCTTATAGTGACACGTCAGCGTTATCGTTAATTTTTTAACGACATGTAACCAAAAATAAACATTAGTTATGATTTTGAAAAAAATAATTGGATGATAAAAATAGAACAAATGAGATAGTTGAGATTCTAAATGTGTATCCTAAATAAAAATAAAATTTGAAAAATAATTACAAGGTAATTTTCGTTCAGAATCTTTATCAATCATTGATAACGCACACGCTCACTACAGATGCAGTTGCTTGAATCCGAAACCTTAGAGAAAATAACACTCCTTCTATTATTGAGTCTACTTAATGGTTTCTTATTTTGTTTGAATAAACTTTATGATTTTATTACATTTTGGTATTTATATTGACTTTGGTAATGCAATTATAATGAATATATTTTGAGCTGATTTATATCACACATCCTTAAATTATAACTTCATTTTAAATTGGTTTTTATATTTTGAATATTTCAATATCATCCTCAAACTATGATTCTCATTCTAAATTTATTCCTAAACGTTTGAATGTTCCAAATTCATCACCAAATTATGAAACTCATTCTATATTGGACCCTAAACTTTGAAACATTCCAATAACGTACACCAAAATCATTCAAAAGTTAAGGGATAAAACTGAAACATTTAAAAGTTAGGGGAAAATAATAGAATGAGGGTTATATATCGAGGATGGACTTGAAATGTTCAAAAATTTGGGATCAATATAGAATGTGAGTCATAATTTAAGAGTGTTCAAAAGTTTAGGAACCAATTTAAAATGAAGATCATAGTTTAAGGATTGTTTTTATGTGTGTATGCAGATTATGACCCCCATTTTAAATTGGTCATGAACTTTTTAACATTCCAATAACATATCCCAAAATCATTAAAAAATTTGGGGATAAATTGGAACATTAAAAAATTAGGGGACCAATATAGAATGAGGGTCATATATCAGGGATGGATGTGGAATGTTCAAAAATTTGGGATCAATTTAGAACAAGAGTCATAATTTAAGGATGAAATTAGAGTGTTCACAAGTCTAGGAACAATTTAAAATGAGGATCATAGTTTAAGGACTATATGTGTGTAATATGAACGTTTTGGTATCGATCATGCCACGAAAGACGATCAATGATGAACATTGATTGACTGCTTTCAGAAAAGTGTAGTGCCAAAAATGAAATTATTAAAAACTATAATGATAAAACAATTATACTCTTAAAGTTTAGTGCCTAAAGTTTAATCCAAGTACTATAAATGAAGTAATTTTAACATTTATTCTATTTTTTTATATGATTGATGTTTTAATAATTTAACTGTAAATTTATTAATATAATTGATTTTTTTAAATAATCTTATTACAAAATATTATCTGTTTATAATTTTCTTAACCATTGATAACATACACATTATACAAACATAACTGCTCGAATCTGATACCATTAAAGAAAATAATATTTCCTTTTACCATGACATCGTTCAATGATTCAAATATAATTGAACTTTTCATACACATAAATAAGTTTTTTGAAACAATCAAATACCTCTATCATATGGGAAAAAATCATCTTTATAAACACAGTGAAAGATTTTACACGAAAGAAATATTATACATTTCTAATTAATTATTCAAATTTTAACAAAACCTGAAATTTAATAAAATAATTTTTCAAATATTAATCGTAAAAGAAGTTATAAAATATATACATGTACGGTTACTATAATTTACATTAATATGAACCTATCAAGTGACATCAATGATTAAAGATAGTTTTATTTCTCCTAAAATTTTTACATTTCAAATAACTGAGTCTGCAAGTTGTGTATATGACTATACGTTGTTAATAGTTAAGAAATATTTTACATATATTATTTATTACTTATTTAATACGAGTATAACATTTGTCTCTCCCTAATCGATAGAACATTATACAATGACAAGATGAATCTAAAACAAAGTTAATTTAAAACATTGTTTATATTAACAAAATTTTGATAAAGTTGCGAACGTTAAATGATTTACATTTTTCGATTTATACAGAAGGTTGTGCCGCTTAGCTCTTATATCGCTACAACATTGAGAATCTCTCAAGAGGTTTTGGAAGATCAATATGATCAGGTGAGACCCTTAACGATTTAAAAACAATTATTCTTTTGATTTTGCGTTTTATGAATAATATCTTGATACAACTGAAGATCAAGCAGGGTATCTTATGCTGTGCAAGTAAGACGATCAACAGATGGATCAGAAATCATCTTAACACTGAAACTAGTGGAATGATAGAGTGAATCATAAGTATCTCAACGTTCAAAAATAAGGGATCTGATGGTTCACCTTCTTTGATTTGGACAAAAAGTTGTAGATAAATATTTTATTTTTTAGATAGATCGTTCTATTCTTTTCTTTTTATACTGCATGCGAACTTACATTTAATGTCTAAAATACAAAGCCATTAAATAATTAATTTACAAAGTTGATGATAATTTGAAGAGGTTGATGTAATTAACCTTTATAAGATTTTAGCTCAATTCACTCATTTACACCGTAGATAACATGATTGGTCTCTATTCAAAACCGGAGGAAAATCACAAGCACAAGGCAAAAAAAGTACAATTATTAGTATCCAAATCAAGTTTAATGGTTAATTACAGGAGGCGGGAGCAGTCAACTGTCAACCCCACTTTTAACGGACGAAGAAATAAAAATGGAAGATGATGAGGAACTTCGAATTGCTCCTTTAAGTTCGATTCATATTTCTCCCTATGTGTCTTTGATTGAAATGATTCGCCTCAGATTTTGAGCTATAGATTTCAAACAGGGTTCAATGGGTAATGTTTTCTCATTGTCCCATGATTTCTTTCCTTTTTGATTTTGATGTTTGAGTTTCTTGATTTCGTTGGTTAATCAATTTTGGCGGTTTATTTTTTTAATTTATGTAATGTGATGAGGAGGAGAGCGTTAAAGCATGTAACGCGGATTTAAGGAGGGGGAGGATCAATTTTGTTTCATATGAAGAACGGAAATTGGATCTGAATTTGAATTTTACTGTTTTTGAAGAGCTATTGGAGATGGGTTTAATGTTCATTGCATGTTTGGATGCTGAGAAAGCTAAGGAAATGGAAAGTAAAAAAAAAGAAAGAAAATGGGAATATGAATATGAATTTTCTATTTAAATTAGCTTTTAAATTAACAAGGAATCGGTGTTTGTTGTGGAAGCTTTTAATCTATTGAATTACACATGCTATGAACATTTTGTTTCTCAGCGACGGATGCAGAATGTTGTTCCACTCAACTTATTGATGGAGATGGCTCATTCAATGTTACCGGACTCGAACAGTTTATCAAGGAAGTAAGACTTTCCGAATGCGGACTGTCATATGCCGTGGTTTCTATTATGGGACCACAGAGCAGCGGTATGCTATATCTTCATGATTTCCTGCTTTGTACTTATGATTTTCGTTGTTCCCAAGGTGTCCATTCATACTAAGCTGCTTCATTTGTCGGTTGTATTTTGAATTAGGATCGTGGAACACAAATTAGCGTATCATTAGTTGGAAGTTCAGTCACTTCAGTGTTTTATATCCATCTTTGTTGCATAAATATTTTGATTCTATATTACACACAGCACACACCACGAGAGATTTTAACCTTTTGGTGTTTTTATCAAGTTTTGGTAGCCATGTAAGTTCTGCTTTACTGCTTATGGCATTTAAAGTTTCACTTTGTTTTCCATGATCTTTACAGGTAAAAGCACTCTGTTAAATAATTTGTTTTACACCAATTTCAGAGAAATGGATGCATTTAAAGGAAGGTAATTTATTTATTTATTGTAATAACAAGACATTGCATTTGTTTCACTTGGCTCAAACAACTAATGGGATGTGCTTGCTTTTAGGTCTCAAACCACGAAAGGTATTTGGATGGCAAAATGCTCTGGTATAGAGCCTTGCACTCTAGTATTGGATTTGGAGGGTACTGATGGAAGGGAACGTGGGGAGGTACCGTTACTAACTTGCATCCTATTATTAACTATAGCGTCCAAAATTTGAAACTACACCGTTTTATTCACTGATAAATATTTGTTCACTCTGTTTGTTTGCCCTCCTTATTAGCTTAGATATCTTTTTCCCTTGCTTTGATGGAAATTTTATCAAGTGCATCCTTCCTCCAATTAATTCTGAGAAATTTTCAATGGGTTGGATATGCTAATAATATGTCAGTTGTAGGAATAGTTATAGCATTGAATGAATTTTTTTGTTTCACTGCAGAGTAAAATCAATAAAGTCGTTCAGTCATTATTTAATTTTTGTTAAGCTTTTAATTCTGAATGTTACATTTTTTTTTCTGTCTAGTGGAGAGTTCACATTAGTATTAGTGCCCACCCTGAAATCCAAATTTTCATATGTTATTTACTTATTTTTATTGATTGTGTCTATCCTAAAATCTTATTTATGTCCACCCGTATAGAAATTTGTATTATTGATATATGTGTATCTTCCCTAAAAAATATTTATGGATTTACCACTATTTCTGTCATAAAAGTTCGACAAAAGGGGATATTTATTCAATAGCATATTTTCAGGGACATGGATTAGTAGATTGTACGTGAAATTGAAGAACTGATCACGATCACATAATTGCTCTGGGGTTTTTTAGTTAAAAGAACCCTTAACGATTTTTTAATGTCTTGAAAGAGGTCTCACCACTCTAATAACATGAAAGCTAGAGTGATGGATCAAGCTGAACCAAATCAATAGATGAATTCAGATTATAAAAGATGAAGAAGTGTATTTTCTGTATCTACTTTTGTTTTTTGAGTTTTATTTGATTTTCCTTTGTTTTACGAAAAATGGGGAGGAATGCAGAGTTTTTTTAAACATATTATTTATTGTTTTGCCATACTCCAGGATGACACAGCATTTGAAAAGCAAAGTGCACTTTTTGCACTGGCAGTTTCTGATATAGTACTCATAAACATGTAAGGTTTGACACCTACATGGTGCTCGATTCATTTAAGTTCTTTGCCATCAGTAGTATGTGCAAGTGTCGAGTAATATACTTGAGCAACTTTCATTTAGGTGGTGTCATGATATTGGACGTGAGCAAGCTGCAAACAAGCCTCTTCTTAAGACTGTATTCCAGGTATTGACTTTGTTGCCTTTATAATCAGTGCCCTGAATTTCAAGAGGTTCATTTTTTCTTTTAATTTGGTTGTAGGTCATGATGAGATTGTTTAGTCCCCGCAAAACAACATTGATGTTTGTCATTCGTGATAAAACGAGGGTGGGTGCCTTTCTTCTATTATGGAGTATTTTGTGTTTGGAGAGTTATTTTGTTATTATATCTCAATAAGGATTTTATAATTTCAAGCGACTTTATTAGTTACTTAAACATTCCTTGTTTGCAGACACCACTAGAAAATTTAGAACCTGTTCTGAGAGAAGATATTCAGAAGGTACGTATATGGTGCCCATGCTTCCTTGTTTTCCTCAGTATATTCTGTTATTCTATCTTCTGACCAGTGTTTCTTGAACTGCAGTTATGGGATTCGGTTCCTAAGCCTGAAGCACATAAGGAAACCCCATTAAGAGAATTTTTCAATGTATGATACATTGGGTCGTTATTTCATGCAGCATACTTTAAACGTTTAATGTCCCCTTATATCTTTAAAGATGGGTATTGCTTCTGATGATTAATACTATTTTCGATACTGGTCAGGTTGAGGTTGTGGCACTTAATAGTTATGAAGAAAAGGAAGGGTTATTTAAGGAGCAGGTACACAGTCTGTGGTTAAATCACCCGTAAGGACATTCAGCATAGCATGCAAATGAGACTTTCACACTATTGGACATCGACTCATTGATTGTTTGATAATCTCTTCTTCTTCTTTCTCCGTTTATGTTGTTGCATTTCTTTTTGTCTCACTTGTCCTGGTTATTAGGTGCAGTTTACTTTTTCTCTTGAGATTGCTAAAATAAAAGATCTCTACTAACGGTTTATATTTTTTCTGTATGTTGGATGATGGTGCTGAAACTTTTGACTAATTGGCATGCAAACGGGCAGTTTGTCTGATTCTATTATTACTATTGAAGGTTTCTAATTTGAGACAACGATTCTTCCACTCTATTGCACCGGGGGGGCTTGCTGGAGATAGGAGGGGAGTGGTACCTGCTTCAGGGTTCTCTTTTAGTGCACAGCAGATCTGGCAAGTCATTAAGGAGAATAAGGACCTTGACCTTCCAGCCCATAAGGTAAACTTTTGAATATTATTTGACTGTAACTTTATAAATCTTGTAGGTTATCCATATTTCATTTGCATGTAGGTCATGGTGGCTACAGTACGTTGCGAAGAAATTGCCCATGAAAAGTACACTGCTTTCATTGAAAGTGAGGTACATGGACATTCAGATTTGTTTGTGAATCCTAAATGTATGCATGTAGACACTCCCAGATCCATATGTATGTGATCTGACTTTTTTTTTTCTAGAAACTGAAACCAACTTATTACTTCATATAACAGAGCTGGCGTAAGTTAGAAGAAGATGTAAAGACTGGTCCAGTTGCTGGCTTCGGGAAGAAGCTGAATTCATTTCTCTACGCTTCTCTATCAGAGTAAGATTAATTCAATGAGATCTCAAGAAAATTTTCTGTGTCAAGTTACAAATAAGTTTGAATCTATATAATAAGCATTTTGAAGAGCTGCGCTTACTTTTAAGGGATTTATCCTGCCATAGTGACTGTACAGAACTCTGTCACTATAGGATAAGTAGGAATGTCGTGATAGCTGATTGGCAATCTGTTGACTTGTAAGTCATGATGGTGATAATGACATATTGCATCAGTAAATTGGTGGATGAAAATTAAGGCATAACTTGGCCAAATAAGATTCCCGATGATAAAATTTAAGATTCTCGACTTTTTTGTAGTTATTATCTGTGGTTTTACAACCATATCAGGGACATTGATTTATTTGCTCATTTTATTCTGACTTCAGATATGATTCAGAAGCCACGTTTTTTGATGACGGTGTCAGATCATCAAAGAGAAAATACCTTGAAGAAAAACTGTTCCAAGTAATGCCATTCAATTCTTTTATTTTCAAAATTTTGTTGCTATTTAAATTTTCTTCTTCTGGTTTAGCTTGCCCAACCAGCCCACCAAACCGTACTAGGACATTTAAGGTCTGGAACTCTTGAAAAATTTAAGGAAGCATTTGAGAAGGCCTTGAATGGAGGAGAGAAGTTTGCCGTGGCTGCTCGTAACTGCACTGAATCTTACATGGCTTGGTTTGATGAAGGATATGAAGGTATGGTTGACCTTTATTAATCATTTTCGTTTACTATAAGCTGGCATTATAAAGAAAGTTATAGAACACTAGTTCAATATGGAGTTTAACGTTGTTTTCAGATGCCGTTGTTGAACTAGCAAATTGGGATTCCTCTAAATTTAGGGATAAGCTACATCGCGATATTGAGGCACATGTGGCTTCTGCCCAAGCTGCTAAACTTTCAGAGCTTACTTCAGCTTATCAGGTACATAAACTTATCTGTCTGCCCCTTTTGACCATTTATTTAAGTGATATTTCCTCATGATTATCAACAATTTTATATTTCCGAATCACCTTCTGTTTAGTAATCCTAACCGATAAAGCAATAATACAAAGATTGTGGATAGTGTAACCTAATTTGTTTTTGAAAGAGGCAAGGTGAACTGATGTTGATACTGTGGTGTGATGACCTTCGTTTTCAAGGTCTTGCAAGTTGTTGAAAATTTACTTTAAAATTAATTTTAGCCAACCTAGTTAAGATGCCATATTAGCCAAACTTATTCTAAACTTCATTATGTTTCAAATTTTTGAAAATTTCAAAATTCACAGTGTTGCATACAATATGAATTCCTTGGAAATAATTGAAGCTCGATTAACTAAGGTGTCATGTTAAGCAGTTGGGTTATTTATATAGGTCTGAACAAGGAAGGCCCACAGTTTTCTAGTTTAATTATTTTGAACACAATGATTATTGCTCTTGGGTGCTTTTTTTATTATCATATATTATGAAGGATAATTAACAAATTACTTTGGATGATTTCTGTGGTTCATAGTTGTAAAATTCCACAACGTTTGAATAATTAGTCACGGTGACATCCAACAGCACATTTTTTTGATTGGTTAAATCACTACTTGGAATCATTGAGATAATTATGGTTCTTTTGCAGGCAAAGCTGAATGATGCATTAGCAGGACCCATTGAATCACTTTTTGATGGAGCTAATAACGAGACCTGGCTCTCGATAAGGAACCTTCTTCGGTGTGAAACTGAATCCGTTGTCAGTGGAATGTCAAAGGCTCTCTCTGGTTTTGACTTGGATGAACATGCTAAAGGCAAGATGCTAACGAGTCTACAGGATTATGCCAGAGGAGTGGTTGAAACAAAAGCTAAAGAAGAAGCTGGAAGGGTAGTGATCCGTATGAAGGATAGGTAACTAACACATTTCAATGTTTGAGTCAAAGTAGTTGGTTTGCTAGACATTGTACATTACAGAATTGACTGAAAAAAAAAGAGTGCAGGTTTACAACATTGTTCAGTCATGATTCTGATTCAATGCCTCGGATTTGGACTGGGAACGAAGATATTCGGGCCATAACTAGAACAGCTCGTACTGAAGTATGTTTATGTAGTATCAGTTGTTGGATTTTCAGAATTATGCTACATTCTGCTCTATGCTAAACATACTTGTTATCTATTACCAGTGCTTGAAACTGCTCGCTGTTATGGCTGCAATCCGTTTGGAAGATGGTGTTGACAATATTGAGAAAATACTATTTTCTGCCTTGTTGGATACCAACAGGAGTGCTGCGACCACAATGGTTGATCCACTTGCCACGAGCACTTGGGAGAAGGTGAAGTCTTGTTCTTGCCGATGATCTTCATGAGATATAGTTTAACTGTACAAACTGTTCGATCATTGCATACTATTCATTGATACGTATTTGCCTGACATTGGTTGAATATGAAAACCCACATTGATACATATACCATAAAAACCAAATTTTTAGCATTCACCTACTAAATGTATAACGCTAAAGCTACGGTAGGGCATTTACATTTTGTCTTTCTCACTAATGCTGTATCGTCATAATTTGATTTTTCTCTCAATGTGTTAATTGAAACTGGTTCAGGTCCCTCCGGCAAGGACATTGATCACACCTGTCCAGTGCAAGGCTTTGTGGCGGCAATTCACAACTGAGACGGAGTACACTGTCACTCAGGCCATTTCTGCTCAGGCATGAATTTTAAAATTCTAATTATGTTGAAGATTTCGTTCCCACCCTTCCCATTGCAGCTGTTTTCTGTCACCCGAGTTTATTGATGCCTGGCTAGTTTTCTTCTACTTTCAGGAAGCCAACAAACGTAGCAACAACTGGTTGCCACCTCCATGGGCAATTGTTGCCTTGCTGGTCTTGGGATTTAATGAATTTATGACTGTTCTGAGGTGCGTTTTACACTCATAGCTTTGAACTAATTTTGTTCTCTATCTGTTGATATCATTATCCTCTTCTGCTTGCTTGTGCTTATTCGTCAATATCCTTCATTGTAGAAATCCTTTCTATCTGGCTGTTATCTTTGTGGGTTACTTGGTTGTGAAGGCTCTATGGTTGCAGCTTGACGTTTCGGGTCAATTCCGTTATGGTGTTGTGAGTTCTGAACTAATATCATTTTGTCACCTATTTATTTATGAGCATGCTAAAATCATTTGGTAAGCCAACGACTCCAATGGCACGATGCGCCGAAACAGTTTACTTCAAAAGCAGGTAAACTAGAATTTCAAAAGCCTGTTGCTGAGAAGGATTTGCTTCAGTTAAAACACGGTTGTCAGATTAAAGATTCCATTGGTCTCGATTTCACAGCTCGTAAATGTTATAGTATAAGTGATGCATTGGAGTATTGGAATGGAAAAGTCTTTGTTGGACTGCATTTACAGTTTCCATTGTGATTAAATGACTAATTTAGAACCTCTTCTCTCTGTGTTTGCAGCTCCCGGGTCTTATTTCATTATCCACTAGGTTTATTCCCACCGTTACGGACCTTATCGGAAAGTTATCCGAGCAAGGTCAGATGCCCCCCACCCCAACTAACAACCCTCCAAGAATGCCGGCTGCAGCAGCATCCAAAAAGTTGGAAAACAGAAGCTTCATATCGCTGACTGCTTCATCCGACCCCAACAAAGAAGAATGACTTGTTAGACTAGAAATACATTGTCCGTCTACCGAAAATTCCGGTTTTGTGCTCCCTTTAACGGCGGGCTGTCATTGTATACTACGATCTAATACACATGTATCTGTGCTAGTGTCGCATTCAAGGGGCCTTGTTTTCTTGCACCAGAGCCCCCATTAAATAGGTATTTTTTTGGTCTCTTTTAGGTCTAGGGTTTTATTACTTGTTGACCAAGTCACAAGGCTTTATATTTTTACCTATGTTTTATTTTTTAAAACCAAAATTTATTATTTATTATTCATTTTCAATTGTATGGATCTGCAACTAGATTTTGTATTATTTATAAAAAATAGTTTGAACATCTTAAAATAACGAAAAGATATTATTAATAGGATATGTTCATTACACCAATATGGTAATATTTATAAGTTAAAGTCTACTACAAATTTTCTTATTATATCTAAAATCATTTTTAGTCGTTCTGTAATTAAAGAAAACATTTTAATTTTTGTATATTTGAAAAATTATAAATTTCGATCTAAAATACTAATATATCATTACTGTAGACACTAATTTTCATCCACATATTTTTTATGTATCTTTTTTTATATATACATACATATATATTATATGGTTTGCAAACGGTTTTTGAGAATACGTATATAATATATATTTTCTAAAAACATTTCGAAAATGTATATAATATATAGTTTTTAAAATACTTTTAAAAACTATATAATATATAGTTTTTAAAACATTTTAGAAAATTTATATAATATATAGTTTTTAAAACATTTTTAAAAACTTATATAGTATATAGTTTTTGAAAACATTTTTTAAAAACCTATATAATATATAAATTTTTTATAAAAAAACATTTTTGAAAAGTATATGGTTTTTAGAAAAAAAAGCATTTTTGAAAATTATATAGTTTTTGAAAAAACATTTTTTAAAAATTTATATAGAGTATATAGTTTTTAAAAGAAATAATTTTAAAATTTTATATTATATAGTTTTTTAAAAAAAATATTATTTATTTATTTATTATTATTATTATTTATTTTTTTAATTTTTTTCTTTGTTTATTATCTGTCCAGGATCTATGTCCAAAAATTCAGTACAATATGCGGGTCCAACAGGTGATTAATCAGTTAGGCCTGAACCAGTCCAAGACCATTAGGGTTTGAAAAACCCTAACATAACCATAAATAGGTCAATGGTGTCGCAAGGATGCAAACCAACGGTCAGCGTTTTCCGGCCGCACCAACGGGACTGAATCATCCCGAGGTGACCGGTGTAACATGCACGGAGATCTCGGCCAACTAACAACCATGATCCCGGGATCGTCGGGACCCAAAACGACCAGAACCGAGCTATAAAAGCATCGGGGAGAATCGGAACAGGGGCATCATCGAGAGAGCGGCTAAAGCAAGCACAATACCAGAACCAACTACGCCCACAGTAAGCCAAACATAGAAAACTCATACCATCGAACCCACACAAAAACATAATCATCATAACCAAACACAAAAAAACAACAAGCCAACAACCTCAAAAGAAACCAACAGTAAACAAAACCACACAAACATCAGCCAATAAGCAAAATAGAAACGCAAGAACACCGGGGAAGCGAACGATTTTCACGAAGAAAGGTAAAAATCGAGGGCTTGAAGCCTAGATCTACGTCGTTTAAGAACAGTTATGTATAATCGGGGCTCGGGGTTAGGCTGAGGGCACTGAGGGCTTTCGAAGGGTAGTAGGGCTCAGACAAGAGGGTGGTCTTGTATGGGAGTGTTGAGAGAGCTCGGTGAAGGAGAGGAAGATAACATTTTGAGGGGAGTGGGAGAAATGAGGGGATTTTTGGGCTATTTGGGTATTTATATATCGAGGACTAATTTGCAAATAGATGATTCTTAAATCCTTTCCGCATTCCCTGATATTTTGAATTGCTTTGCAATTTGGTCACCATGTGTAAATTTGCCTCCAGATTTCCAATTTAATCAATTTAGTCCCCCTTTATATTTTTTATGTTTTATGAATTGGCCCTCTAACTTTTTATTTTTACTTTTGCAGTTCAATTTACTACCAATTTAAGTCATTAATTTCAATTTGTCTCTATTTGATCCTCTAAGTAGTTACTTTTTTAATATTTTTTTGTTTTCTTTGATATATATATATATATATATATATATATATATATATTCTATTTTTATTTATTTTATTCTCTTCCTTTAAATTTTCTTTCTTTCTTTCTTTCATTTTTCTCATTTTTAGATTTATTTATTTATTTATTTATTTTTATTTTTATTTTTTTATATAAATATTTTTTCCTTTTGATTTATCATTATTTTTTATTTTATTTATGTAGTTTTTTTTGTCTAACATTTTCGATCTGCTTTGTTAGAGGCGCCCCAGTCAATCAAAGGTAAACAATTTGAATCGAATGTTTTAAGTTCCAATTTAAATTTTAATTTTCACAATTAAAGACAACCGACAAGTTAATTGGTACCGAAAGGGCGGTTCAAGGGTGCTAATCTTTCCTTGACCGTAATCGACTCCCGAACCCGACATATCACTGGTAAAACGCAGATCAGGTAAGGAATAAGGTATCCGATCTACCTATTTGTTTTAAAATAAAAGATCGGTGGCGACTCTAACCCAATTCATTCAAGTCGAAGCCCAATTTCGGGGCCCAACCGAAAGACGGTTCCGACAGCTTGGCGACTCCACTGGGGACAGATAAGTGAGTTAGGCCGAAATTACTTTTCGGTTGTCTTTTTATGCGAAAATGGTAAATTTTAATTTTAATTTATTTATTCGATTCCAATTATTTATCTTTGATTATTTTTCAAATAAATAGTTGTACAGACGTTTTTTTAATGAGATCAGTTTTTTTTCAAAATTTTCATCTCTAAGCTCTAAACACGAGCTCCGAACCTGTTTTAAGTGAGGGTGAAAGCGATGAATTCGTATGAATTTATTCACCAGATATGCCTAGCAAGTAGCCTTCGGGATTCATATACCTTACGTCTTCGTGTGAATTTATTCACCGCACAGACATAAGGGAATGTGTCCTCTCGAGTTTAACTTAGTCCACGCAAGCTTGTAATGGGCTTAGGACTAAGGGTATGGCAAGCCCAAGGGGGCACTGGCAAGGAGAACTCGAGTACCTTTTTAGAACCTAAACCGGGAGAGTACAAGGAATTAGAGCCCTCCGTAAGACCTCATTCCAAACCCTAGGATGCTTTGTTTCCTGCTTTATTTTTTTGTTCAAAGCATGAGAACTAGACAAATATGCGGCTAAGAATTAGCATGCGGGATAGAAATCATGTATGGGTAGGAATATTAAGCATATTCGGGTAGATTATCATGTGGGGTAGATTTTTTCATTTTTTATTTTGATTTACCTCACTAACCCCTTTTATTTTTTGTTCTATTTCATTTTGTTTTCATCATTCGCATCATTTAAAACGAGGTGTTGATCCACCAAAAACGTGTTTGTTAAACATGAATAATCTGCATTAATGGACAAAGGGATTATAATACAAAGAGATAAAAAGCTCAGAAGCCCAATCGTGGTCAAAGAACACTCGGAGGCAAAGGGTGCAGGGGCAAGACAAGGAAAATGTTACTGACCCGGAGAGTCCTTTCGAAAACTGCGAGAACAAGATGGAGAAACCCTAGCTAAGCTGGAGATCATTATTTATAAATTCTAGAAACAAGTCGATAAACTTCGGGTGGAGGGCTCCGATGGCACTTTCGTTTGGAACAAGCTTGACATAGAGTGAAAGCCAGAGATGCAGTCATTCGAGACCTTTTTGGGGAAAACAGCTCGTCACTTGCACAAATTTAGCCAAAGGAACCAGAATGGTTCTACGGGATATTCAACCGGGGAAAAAGGCGGAAGACGAATCAACTTGTCAGAAGCTGTGCGGGATATATACCATCAAAAAGTTTTATGTCTCTTCAGACGTAACACTTTTGTTACCAATAAGGGTTATTCAGAATAACAGACACATTTTTGGATCAATGCCTCGGATATTTCATGCATCATGCATTTAGACATTTTGCATTTTGTTATTTTCTTTGCATTCACTAACATATACATGTCTCATCAAAGGAACAAATACTGGATACACCGCCTCAAGCGTTTGACACACCTCATCCGTATAACACCCGTTTGAAGAAGAAGATAATGGAAGCCAGAATTACACAAATCGAGGAGAATATGTTGAAACTACAGAAAGAGCTAGAAGACAAGATAAACCAGAACAGTCGAAATACTCTGGAAACAATCATGAAGAACCAAGAGTCTTTGGTCGATCAGATCGTTGCCAAGTTAGTTGGCTTACAACAGACCAGTGCGCCTGGGGCAGGTTCACCGGAAGGGGTAACTATACAACTTACCCCGCAAGTGGTTATCTCACCTGAAATCTTACCAGAACTTCGAGGGGACTCATCTGCTGCAAAAGTGATGCCCTCGTCCTCTCTATTTAACCCTAAGAACAATCTGGGTTATTATCATGTACCGGATTTGGACGAAGATGACAAAACGAAGAAGATTGAGGAAAAAATCAAACAATTGGAGGACCAAATGAAGGTAGTCAAAGGAGACAATGACTACCATGAAATCGATGCAACGGAACTTAGTCTAGTCCCGGACTTGGTTCTTCCTCCGAAATTTAAGTCCCCGGAATTCGAGAAGTTTGACGGGAACAGTTGCCCATCTGCTCACATCACCATGTTCTGCCGAAAGATGACAGGATATGGAGGAAACAACCAACTCCTGATCTATTGCTTCCAGGAGAGTCTATCGGGCTCAGTCATTCGGTGGTACAACCAGTTAAGCCGATCAAATATCAAGACCTGGAAGGACCTGGCCAAGTCATTTCTGGAACAATACAAGCATGTCAATGACATAAGGCCAGATCAAGTTATGCTACAAAGCATGGAAAAGAAGCATAATGAAAGTTTCAGACAGTACGCAAAAAAATGGAGGGATTTGGTTGTGCAAGTTCATCCACCGTTAGATGAAAAGGAAACCCGAAAGCTCTTCGTGCAGACCCTGAAGGCTCCATACTTTGGGCACCTAGTTGCGATCACATCAAGAAGCTTTTCAGATTTGGTTATGGCCGGAGAAATGATTGAGTCGACCAAAAAGCAAGGCAAAATTAAGGATGGGGAGGCCAGTAGGAAACCTCATATGTGAGAGCGGGATGGAGAGATTAACAACATCAATCATACTAGTAAAGGTGTTACG